TTGGGTCCAATCTGACTGATCAGTGAGATGTGTGGGCTGAGGGCTGCCCGCCGGCCCGGGGCATCTCTTTCCAAGAGGGAAAGGGAGGGCTGTGTGGGAGACTTTTGAGGTGGCCGTGGGGCTTCCAGAAAGTGATTATGAGACTCCTCGGGCTAGGGGTGAGGAGATGAGGTCTTGTACTTGGCCATTTTTCCTAGAGTTCTTAAAACCAGACAAGCCCAACCCTTGAGAGGCTACTTCTGATTAGATCCTCCTCAGCAGGCCTGACCAGCACTGGTTCCAAGAGCCCTGATCAGCTGTTGACTGGCCTGGCTCTTCTGTCTTCCAGATCCCCGTGGTAGCTGTTATGGCCACCGGTGGTGGGATCCGGGCGATGGTTTCCCTCTACGGGCAGCTGGCTGGACTGAGGGAGCTGGGTCTCTTGGATTGCATCTCCTACATCACAGGGGCCTCGGGCTCCACCTGGTGAGCTGGCTGCAGGTTGAGCGCAGGAGTCTGGGGGTGGCAGTGGTAAGGCTCAGTGCCTCTGACCCAGTTGGGAGAGCTGGGAGAAAGGATGTGCCAGAGGGAAACCCGCTCAGTGGGACCACTGGGAGGTGCCTGCTAGACTGTTGTCCTAGGATAGAGAGCCCACGGTATACAATGACCCCCTGGGCTTTGGCTTTTCCCAGGGCTTTGGCCAACCTCTACGAGGACCCAGAATGGTCTCAGAAGGACCTGGCAGGGCCCACCGCGACACTGAAGACACAGGTGACCAAGAGCAAGTTGGGCGTGCTGGCCCCCAGCCAGCTCCAGCGGTTCTGGCAGGAGCTGGCTGAGCGTGCCCGCCAGGGCCACCCGACCTGCTTCACCGACCTGTGGGCCCTCATCAGCGAGGCACTGCTGCACGATGAGGTGCGGGGAGGGGTGTGGCCAGGGCATGGTCTGAAGGTGGGGAGCAGCCCTGGGCAGCAGGGGTCTGGCAAAGGTCTCAGGCACCAGAAAGCCACAGCTTTAGGTTCAAATCCTCTCCGTCCACCAGCCCCATGACCACACACTCTCAGCCCAGCGGGAGGCCCTGAGTCACGGCCAGAACCCTCTGCCCATCTACTGTGCCCTTAACACCAAGGAAAAGAACCTGACCACCTTTGAATTTGGAGGTGAGTAGCCCTGGAGTTGAGAGCTGCGCTCTCGTGCTGGCAGGGTGAGGGAGAGCTGGGCCTGTGTGTAGATGGGTGTTACACCCACCCCTTTGGGGCCAGGTCCCATGCTTTCCAGAGACTGTCATCCTCCCAGAGTCACTCAGGCTTCGGGAGGGGGTTAGGTCCATGCTCAGGGTGCCTGCACCCAGCCTAAGCCTCCAGGTCGCCAGGCTGCCCTGATGTGACGCCTGTGGTGTTTGAGGGTGTTGGGGGTCTGAATCCCACCGTGAAGCTGTGTCGTCTCCTCACAGAGTGGTGCGAGTTCTCCCCCTATGAGGTTGGCTTTCCCAAGTATGGCGCCTTCATCCCCTCTGAGCTCTTTGGCTCCGAGTTCTTCATGGGGCGCCTGACCAAGCGGCTTCCTGAGTCCCGAATCTGCTTCCTTGAAGGTGAGGGGTGGGGGGGCTGGAAGGTTATGGAAGCGGGGGTAGTGGGGAGAATGGGCCTGGGGAACTCCACCTCTCTGCTCAGTCACGGGGACGTTGCCTGGTCTAGGATGGGCTGTGGGGAAGGGTCAGGTTGTGATGGGGTGGGAAACTCTCCCCCTCTGGTCACCTCTGTTCCCCTCATGTCCCCTTCTCAGGTATCTGGAGCAACCTGTATGCAGCCAACCTCCAGGACAGCTTATACTGGGCCTCAGAGCCCAGCCAGTTCTGGGACCGCTGGGCACAGGATCGGGCCAACCTGGGTAGGTTCCTGGGCTCCTTGGAAGGAGCTGGAGAGACAGCCACTAGGGAACCTGGGGGATGGTCCGGTGGCCTTTGGGAGTCCACAGAAGCTAGGGTAAAAGTTCAGGGGTCCCCCTTTCCTAAAAGATGCTCCACTTTCCCCTTTCTTGACTGTGCAGACAAGGAGCAGGTCCCTCTTCTGAAGATAGAAGAGCCTCCCACAGGGGCCGGCAGGATTGCTGAGTTTTTCACTGACCTTCTGACACGGCGCCCACTGGCCCAGGCCACCCACAATTTCCTGCGAGGCCTCCATTTCCACAAGGACTATTTCCATCATCCTTACTTTTCCGCCTGGAAAGGTATCTTTTCTCTCCCTGGTCCCAGTTCTCCAAGGTCTGCCCATGGCCACCTGAGCCCTGGGTCCCTGGTCCAGACACCCCCACCCTCCATCCCCCAAGCTCCTTTGAGCTTAGTTCACTGGGCTGCCTAGCCCGGCAACCCTTTTTCCTCTCCTTATAGCGTGGATCAGTGCCCATCTGTGGGGTCTTGGGAAGTGGCAGGGCTACTTTGGCAGGAGAGGTCAGGGAGCAGAGGGCAGGGTTGGCTTCTACCACTAGCAAGGAGCTAGCGTTAGGCTAGAGGGGTCTGGAGGCCTCGGCACCAATGATAGCTGCTTTTTCACCCCATCCCCTTGACCTTTCCAGCCACCAAACTGGATGGGCTCCCCAACCAGCTGACACCTGCAGAGCCCCACCTTTGTCTGCTGGATGTTGGCTACCTTATCAACACCAGCTTCCCGCCCCTCCTGCGGCCCACACGGGATGTGGACCTCATCCTGTCGCTGGATTACAACCTCGGAGGAGCCTTTCAGGTGGGCTGGGGTGGGGGCAGGCTAGAGAGGCAGTGGTGACCCCAGGCCTGGCCTGACATCCTGGCTCTTGCCTCCAGGGACATCTACCTTAGAGTCCAGGATCTGGTCCAGCTTCCCTGAGAGGCTGAGACAGGGACACCATGGGAATGGCATCCTATGAATTGTGGTTCCTGTGAATTTACCACCAGGGGAAGTTACAGTGACAGGGAGATGGGTTTTTTTTTTTTTTTTAATTCATTTATTTATTTATTATTCTTATGTTAATCCCCATACATTACATCATTAGTTTTAGATGAAGTGTTCCATGATTCGTTGTTTGTGCATAACACCCAGTGCTCCAAGCAGAACGTGCCCTCCTCAATACCCACCACCAGGCCAACCCATCCTCACACCCCCTCCCCGCCCAGAACCCTCAGTTTGTTTTTCAGAGTCCATCGTCTCTCATGGTTCGTCTACCCCTCCGATTTCCCCCCTTCATTCTTCCCCTCCTGCTGCTACCTTCTTCTTCTTCTTCTTTTCTTTTTTTCCTTAACATATATTGCATTATTTGTTTCAGAGGTACAGATCTGAGACTCAACAGTCTTGCACAATTCGCAGCGCTTACCAGAGCACATACCTCCCCAGTGTCTATCACCCAGTCACCCCATCCTTCCCACCCCCCACTCCAGCAACCCTCAGTTTGTTTCCTGCGATTAAGAATTCCTCATATCAGTGAGACAGGGAGATGTTTTTAAGTGTATTTTATATTTGGGGTCCCTGCTACCCCCATTTGGTCCAAGACCTCTGGAACCCTGTGCTGTGAGTTTTTGTGTTGGTCCAGTGAAGTTTCCTACAGAACCTGGGAGTTGTTAGCAGCCCCTCGCTGCAGAGGTCAAAGGAGCTGCAGCAGAGAGGTTGTCAGGGTTCGAGCACTTTCCCACGTCTGGCCTGGCCCTGTGGGGCTGCCTGGGTCGGATTTGGCATCCGGGCACTGAGTCCCCCGTGTCTCAGCTGCCCTCCAGCTTCAGCTGGCCCAGTGTTGGAGACACAGGGGAGCCCCGCCCTCTGACACCCTCTCCCTGCCACGCAGCCGCTGCAGCTCTTGGGCCAGCTGTGCCAGGCGCAGGGCATCCCTTTCCCGCCCATCTCCCCCAGCCCTGAGGAGCAGCGCCAGCCTCACGAGTGCCACTTGTTTCTGGACCCAGCCTGCCCCGAGGCCCCGGCTGTGCTGCACTTCCCGCTGGTGGATGGCTCCTTCCGCGAGTACTCAGCCCCTGGTGAGCGCCCTTGTCCTCCCCCCTCCAGCCTTTATGCCTCTCCACAGGGGACCCCCCAGCCTCAGCTCCACGCTCTCCCCCAGGCATCCCGCGCCCCCCTGAGGAGAAGGCGGCCGGGGAGGTGAACCTGTCTTCCTCCGACTCCCCCTACCACTACTCGAAGCTGACCTACAGCCCGGAGGACACGGACAAGCTGCTCCGCCTGACCCATTACAACATCTGCAACAACCGGGAGCGGCTGCTGGAGGCGCTGCGGGGCGCCGTGCAGCGGAGGCGCGGGCGGCACCAGCCCCAGTGAGGGCGTGGGGCTCCCCTGCCGCCCGCCACACTCACCCCCAGAAGCTCCAGGCGAACAGGGCGAGTTTCCTCCCCCCGGCGTTCCGGAGCCCCTGGGGCCTGGAGGGCCCCGCAGCCCCCAGCAATCTCGCCACATCCACATGCGGGGGCCTTGAGCATCTTAAAAGCAAGGAGAACATTTAGGGGGCTCTGGGGTCGCTGAGGTAGGCCTGGGGGACGAGGGCTTGAGCCCAAAGCAGTATTGACCCTATTTGCAGAAGCGCCCAAAGCCATGTGCCCTTCCCCGTTGCTACCTTGAGTAACTGTACCGAGTGAAATAGAGCGGTTTATGTATCACAGAGGCTCATATAAATGTGAGGTGGGACCAGATGATCTGTCCTTGCTGCCAAGAAAGGACAGGTCATGCTGGGCTCCTGGGCACACAGAACAAGGACTGGTCCCCTACAGAACTAGCGAACAGGTCCCGTCTACCCTGCTAGAGCCCTCGCCCTGTGCAGGGGACAGACTCACAGGCAGTGGCAGCCAGCACCCCTGTCCCCACACCCCCCCCCCAGACGGCTGCTTCCTATCCCACAGTAGGGGTGGCCACACCTGCGATCAGAGGAGCCATGGGGACAAGCGCGCATGGCCTACGACAGCAAGCTGTGATCTTGGCGAGGGCTGCCTCTTAACAAGGAACCGTCCATTCCAGACTTTGGTCCTGGTAGCAGAGTCCCATGCTGGTCCTCTAGAGGTTGTCCTTGTTTGTAGCCCTGAGGTTTGCTGCCACCTCAGGGTTTGCTTCAGGGCCCAGACCTGTTGGGGTAACAGGGAGGCAGAGTGAACTTAGGGCCTGGCCTCCCTTAAAACATCCCACCTCCTAACTTGCTGGGGGAGGTAGATACCGAGAGCTGACAGGCAGCTGCAGGACGGACCGTAGTGTGTGGAGGGTGGATGGGAGAGAATGGGTTCTCTGTCGCTCAGAACTCCCCCTCTGCTCTGGCCCCCTGATGCTTGGGCCCTGCCCTGGGCATGGGCCAGTGTCACAGCGGAAACAAGGGAGGCCCTGGGAGCCGTAGAAGCCACCATCCAGGACAAGGCCTATTCATTCAGCACCATGTTATCTGAATTCTCAAATGGAGCCCATGGGCCCTGCGGGAGCGGGCTTGCGTAGCTGCCAGAGACCACAGCCATGGCCGCCCTCCCGGGTGCTCCTTGGGCCTGACCCAGGGTGTCTGTCTCTGCGAGAGTCGGTGTGGGCGGGTGACCGCCTGACTGCTGGCCTGCTCTAGGACAGTAAGGCTCCCCTTTCCCGTCGGAGCAGGGGAGAGCAGGAGAGGCGGCCGAGGGCAGGCCGGCCCTGTCTTCTGTCGGACTGGAAGAGGAGGCCGAGGAGTGAGCGCTGTGTGGGCGCCTGGGCCGTCCTTACCTTGGGCCTGGCTGGGGCAGGAAAGGCAGTGGGAGCCGTGGGCAGGTGCTGGGGCAGGGCCCGCAGCCTGTAGGAACCCCAAGGGTTGTGGCTGGCCGTCGGCACTCACGGGCGTCTCCCTCAGTGAGGAAGTCGGGGGACAGCCATGGAATCTGTGGGGAGAGGGAACCTCAGGGCCTGGACTCTGAGCAGAGCTTTGTACCCGATGGGGTGGGTGCTAGGATTTTCTATTGCTGAGGGTCTCAAATACGGGGGTTAGTCCATACCCTAGCAGCTTAGGGCTGAGTCTCCAGATCTCAGGCTTGAGAGGGCAGCAGCTGTGCCAGTTATGGGGCTCAGGACTCCCACCTGCCCACATAGCCACGGGCCCTACCTGAGCGGGCTGGCGGTGCTGGGCACTCTCTCAGCAGCATGTGCAGCTGGGAAGCCCACGGGTCTGGCTGGGAGCTCCAGGCTCAGACTGTGGGCTGCAGAGCAAAAGAACAGTGGTCAGCGCTGGCCCCGGTGGTAGGCCCTCTGCAGCCGGCAGCCTCCCTGCATGTTCGTGTCTATCCCCAAATCCCTCTGTGGAAATCCTAATACCAAGGGGACGGCACTGGGAGGTGATGAGGTGATGAGGGTGGAGCCCTTACAAAAACCCCAGAGAACAACCTGGCCCCTTCCACCAAGTGAGGACACAGTGAGAGGGCACCACTCACGACCCAGAAGAAGACTCTTACCAGACCCCCAATCTGGTGGCGCCTTGATGGACTTCCCAGTCTCTAGAGCTGTAAGAAATAAATGTTACCCACCCAGTCTGTGATAGTTTTGTTAAAAGCAGCCCAAACAGACTGATGTGCCTGCTCCAGGAGGCTGTGGTACGCACCAAGCCTTGCCCACGTGGTGCGCAGTGCGGGCCCAGCACTCGGGCAGGTCCCCCAGCGCACCCCTGCCTCCTAGAAGGCTGAATGCAGATGGGCTAAGAGAGGCTTAGTCTGGAGAAGATCCTGAAGACACTCAAGATCCCCTTGGGATTCTGGAAGGACAGACTCCGCTCCCAGGGGACCAGAGAGTGTGAGGAAAGAAGCCAGGAACCCCGAGAGACTGGGAGGAACAAGAAGGGACTCCCACCTGGGGCTCACAGCAGCCTGAGGACATGACCTGAATATCACTGTCTCTGGGTGGAGCCTATCTGACCATACTGATGACAGACTTCTGGGGCAGGGGTGCTCTCCAGGCATCCTTCCTGATATAACTGGGTTTGGCCACTGTCCACAAGATACCCCAAGGGCAGTGCATTCAGAGCTTTTTGAGGAGTGGAAGGTTAGAGAAGATCCCGGGGTCACAGAACAAAGCCTAGGAGCATGCAGGGAAGTCAGAGAGGCAGATTCCAAAGGGGGCAGAACAGGGCCAAGGGGCAGCCAGGGGGGCAAGCCCGGCCCTCCCTCTGGTACTAATTAGCGCTGTGATCTTTGGCAAGTGGGTTACCCTTTCTGGGCCTTAAACTGAGAAGACACTAAGTCCCACTTACCTCTCAGGCTAGAGAGGTACTAGTTGGGGGCCAGGTACTCTACCCCAAGTCCCTCCCCAGGTGCCCCTGGTGCTTACCAGTCGCGCTGCTCAGGGCTCGATGCCAGCTCTCAGCCTGCCCTTCCGAAGGTGCCGCACGCAGGGTCTCCACCCCGCCGCTCAGCCTGCCACCCACAGAGCCGGCGGTCAAAACTCTTGGCTTCCCACACCCGTGGGCCCCTGTGCCTCCAGCCCCCTGCTGCTCTTGGGAGGCCATGCCGGCTGGGTCAGGTCATGTTCTGGGGCCACTGTCTCCCTCCCCACCTGGCCCTCACCTTAAGGAGAAAGCATGTTTCCTGCCATGCTGGTTCCCCGGCCTCTCACACTGGGCTCCTCCGAGGTCAAGGGTGGCCATTGGGGCCATATCCTGAGAAGAGATGAGAGGGGTCACCAGTGCCATGTCCGCTCTTCCCCGTGGGCCTGTCCTCTGCCTCCCCCACATTCCACTGCCCAGTACCTCTGCTGCCCTCCTCTCGTCCCAGGAGAGGCTCAGGGAGCTGCTCCCCAGGGTCCCGTGGCAGCCATCCCAGGGGCTCGAGCAGGGCTGTGGAGAGAAGGCAGGGAGGCTGCACCAGCTGGGCGTGGAGGGGAGGCTGCAGCCCATCCTCGCGATCGCCCGTGTGTCTCCAGAGGCTCCCAGGCCAAGTCCACGGGGAAGAGGGAGCCAGGGAAGGCTGTGCCGGGAAACCAGCAAGAGGAGGAAGAGGGGGGATGGAGCCCAGCTTCCCAAGGCCTTGGAGCCCCTAGCAGAAAGCGAACCCCTCAGGAGAAGGCCCGCAAGGAGCAGAGAGAGAAGCAGAGAAGGGAGGGGGAGGGTCTGGGCCTTGCCCGGGCCCCTCCGCTGGGCCCTCCAGCCCCATCCTGCCTCGGTGCTTCCGCTCAAGCGCGGGTGGGGGCAGCAGCTGTGAGGCAGCTTAAGAATGAAACTGTCCTGGGGCGCCAGGCTGGCTCAGTCGGTAGGGTGTGAGACACCCCGATCTCGACCTCGGGGTTGAGTTTGAGCCCCACGCTGGGTGTAGAGATTGCTTAAATAATAAAGAAAAAAGAATGAAATGGTCTTAAGAATGGGGGGGAGGGGGTTATCCACCATCACGTCAGGATGCCAGGCCCTGACGGCCCCTCTGAGCCCTCTGGTTCTGCGGGGGAGAGCAGCCTGGAGAAGGAGCCTCCTCATGCCTCCCTGCCTCCCTGCAGGCGGGAGCTGCGGCCAGAGCTCCAAAAACCCCTCCGCGGTGGGGGCACCCTTTGCATCCTGAAGGGGCAAGATGGGGCCCAGGAAACATCCAGCAACAGAGGACAGGCCCCCTCTGAAAGGTGGGCTAGGAATCCACCCCTCTCTGACCACTTCATTCCTGAGGACTCTCGGCTCTTCTGCCCAGTGCCCACCCCCCGGGGCTCACTGCTGGGTCCAGGGTCTGGGCCTCACCCCCGCGGCCCCGACCCCACTGGGCTCCTGCTGCCGGGCTGCAGGCTCCAGAGAGACAATGGTGGCAGGGGGTATGTGCGGCCCGACGGGGACACCTGGCTGCAGGTCCCTTGTCTCAGCCAGCTGTACTCCGGGCCCCCAGCTTCCAAGGGGCCTCTGCTGGAGGGCGATGAGCGCATGGCCAGCACTCCTGGGGTTCAGCCCTGGCCCCTGTTGTGGCAGCTTCTGTTCCACCTTGGCGAGGGGAGTAAGGTGAGCCAGGTCAGGGCTCCATGCCCCAGCTTCTCCTCCCCAAATGCCTTCCCCCTTGAGAGCATCCCTGTCTTCTCAGGGGTCTTCATCTCTTCCCGCTTCAGCTTGCTTAAGAGGCTTCCCCCTCATCCTAGTCCACAGTGGGGCTCCAGCCTACCTGGATGCGGGGGTGGGGTGATGGGGCCCTGCAGCTGGCCAGGCAAAGAACAGGGTTTTCCTGAGGGGTCGGATGTGGGCTCAGTGCCCTGGGGCGGCTCCATGCTCAGACTGCTCCCACCCCAGCCCTCAGGCCCCTTGCTGCTGGCATACCCTCGCCCAGCCTCCTCTCACCCCCGCCTTCCTCTGCAGTTGGGCAAACTTCTCTGCCTGGGCTGCCAGCAACTTCTCGAAGTCCTGGTGTCTGCAGAGCAGCAACTCCACATCGGACACAGTGTGCTGGGGAAAAGCCAGGGGGGTGAGGCCCAGCTCCAAGGGGTGCCGAGAGCCGCCGCCCCCCCCCCCCCGCCCCCGGTCCACAACCCGGTTTAGCGGGTCAGGGAGCCCAGGGACCGCAGGGCCCGCCCTTGGCTGCGGCTGCCAGTCGGTGCAGCTGGCTCGTGGCGGCGGGGGGCTGGGCTCACCCCACAGCTGGGGTCGAGCAGTAGAGCCTCCCGGGAGGCCAGCCAGGCCTCGGCCCGGTCCAGCTCCTGCTGCAGCTGCTGCAGGCCCCAGTTCTCCTTGCAGCGCTCCTGGCGTAGGGCGCAGGCCTCTGTGAGTGCCTGCAGCCGCCCTTCTAGCTCCTGCAGACACCCTGTCACCTGGTGGGAAGGGGTGCTATGCGTCAGACGCTCGAGCAGAAGCACCGAGGCAGGATGGGGCTGGAGGGCCCAGCGGAGGGGCCCGGGCAAGGCCCAGACCCTCCCCCTCCCTTCTCTGCTTCTCTCTCTGCTCCTTGCGGGCCTTCTCCTGAGGGGTTCGCTTTCTGCTAGGGGCTCCAAGGCCTTGGGAAGCTGGGCTCCATCCCCTTTGTGCTCGTACCTCCGGGGACATGAAGTGGCCGCTGTCTACCAACTGCTGCCCTTCCCGCTGTAAGTCCTGCGCTCGAAGGCAGTGCTCCCTGATTTCTTGCCCCAGCTCCGCGTGCTGCACCAGGAGCCGCTTGGCCCCCACCACGTCCCCAGCCAGCTCCCCGGAAGAAACCAGAGCTTGCTTCTCCTGAGCCCATGCTCTGGGGGTAGGGAGATGAAGCTGCCGTCAGGGCTGAGAGCGGCCTCGGGCGGCAGGGCATGAGGTGTGCCCGGGGAAGGGGAGTCTGGCTCCCCAAAGAGCTGCGGTGACCCCCCACCCCGCGGGGGCAGCGCTGAGCCAATACCAGGGCGGGATGCCACCTACAGCAGTTCTCGACAGCGGCCGAGGAAGGCCTGGCCCCGGGCCGCGTGCTCCAGCTGCCAGCCCTGCTCCCGGGCCTTCTCACTCAGGGTGGCCCAGGCCTCCTCCACCCTGGCCAGCTGCTGGCACAGGCCCTCCCGGGCCACGGGGTGTAGCCGGCCCAGTCGGCAGGCCTCCAGCCGCACCCGGGCCACCTCCTTCTCCACAGCTGCCAGGTCCCGCTGCCACCAGAATACCCGATCAGGCCTCACGCCCCGCAACCTGATGCACCCCCCTCACTCCGGGAGCACCTGGTCCTCTCTGGGGGCCTCCTGTTTCCCAGAACTTCCCCAGCCAACTCCACTCTGTTCCGCAACCTGGGCAAGCACTCCCAGGCTAGGAGGGCCTTCCCTTCTCCCCTCTGGGGGGCCCTACCCCCACCTGCAGGGAGACTGGGGGCACCCTCACCTCCAGGCACCTGTGCTGTCGCTGTAAGGTCTGCACTGAGGACAAGCTGTGGTCACAGATGTCTCTCACCATCGGGGTGGCCTTCTCCTGCATCCAGCCCTGGAGCTCGGTCACTGCCTGCTCAAAGCCACGGACCTCCCGGGCTGTGGCCAGGCTCTGGGAGAAGGGGGAGGCCTGCTCTGGGCTGAGCTCACTCTTAGGGTCCTTTCTCCCTGGAGACATGGCCTCGTGGACCACCTCCCTTTAAATAACCAAGACCACGGGGCTCAGTGACTCGTTCATGACCACCAGGTACAGAGAATGTCCTAGATGTGGCAAGTGCTCAATGAGTGTGTGATGTTACTGATGAGGGGTAAGGCCTCGGGGGGCCTTCTGTGACAAGAGGGCCTTTGGTGTACAAATCACAAGAAAGGCAGAAATGGAGGCTCTGAGGCAGCGGGGGATGGGTCCACGTGAGGGAGGAGTTTGGTTTCTGGGAGGACTGGCTAGGACGGGCGGGCCAGCTCAGGAGGCTGCCCAGGCTGTTGGGGGCTTGGGGGGCAGCCTGCTTTTATAGAAACCAGCAGCTACAGCTGAGAACACAGGTCGGGGAGCAACATGGAGCCCATCCACTGAGGGCATGGAGCTTCGAAGAGGGAGGGGGCGCAGCGAGGGAGCCAGTTAAGTATGCATGGTTGAGGAGAGATCAACACGGTGTGTATCTTCAAACCTGAGGCCTGTATTTAGGGGAGGTTTCGAGGGGTTCGAAAGCTGGCCAGACCTGCCTTCTGTTTCTCCCAGGTGTGAACTGCCGGCAGGAAAGCAAACTGGTGGAGAGGGCTGGGGTGGGGTAGAGGTGCAAGATTTCGAGAGTCCCCATCTGCTTAGTGCTGGGAATCAGAGGCAGCCACCTCCGTCCGCACACGCATACCCACCCATGCTCATACTCACTCGCACGCTCACCCTGGTGGGCCTGCTCGTCCCTGACCCAGGCAGAAGGCACGGGTGCTCCTGCCCCGTGGCTGCTCCTGGCCTGGCCTGGGCGCACTTACCTGGCTGCGGGCTTTTATTGCCCTGTCCAGCCTCTCCCAAGCGGCCTCGATGCGACTCCTCTGCGCCTGAATCCGGGGAGAGCACCTGGGGGCCGTCCGTTCCAGGGAGGCCGCCAGCTCCCTCAGGGCCTGCACCTTGGCCTGCCCCAGGCTCTGAACTTCCTTTCTGAAAGCATCAAACTTCTCTTCCAGCACCTGCGGGGATAGAGGGCCAGGGAGGGTCACTCCGGAGGTGGTGTCCAGCAGCTCTTGCAGCTCGCGAAGGGCCTGGCAGCATCTGACAGTCCCCTCATCCGTACTGGACGAGGCGGGAGCGGACGTTGCCCGGCTCTGGCTCTGGGACCATGGGGATCTGCCCAGAGCCCACCTTCTTCCCTTCAGCTCACGCCCTCGCCTCCCTCTCGCCCAAAGGCACACACCTCCCTTGCCCTGGCTCAGCCTCCATCCACTCTGCCACGGGTTCGCTTGGGAGAGACTCACCTTGACGGCCTCCAGGTCCCGCCCGAGGTCCTGGGACTCAGCCGTGGCCACCCTGCTGGCCAGCCAGGTTTCGAGGAGCAGGGCCTCCCGTTCCAACTGGTGGCACTGCAGCTGTTCCCGCAGGCCTTGCCCCCTGCCTTCCGCCCTCTGCAGCAGCCCTGAATGGGCCTCCCTCAGCGCCCGCATCCGGCCCAGCGCCCTGGTGCTGTGGCAAGGAGGACAACCCCGCTGAAGCCCTTCTTCTCTAGGCCGGAGCGGCCTCGCGGGCCTCGGAAGGGAGAGCCCTCCCTGCGCCTCCCTGCGCCTCCCTGCGCCCCCCTGCGCGCGCCTGGCTCCCACCCACCTTTCTGGGTTCTGCCTGCTCTCCAGGAGGGCCGCGGTCTGCTGCAGCCTCTCAATTCGCATGCCGAACGCCTCTAGGTCTCTCCTGGTGGCCTCCAGCCGCCGCAGAAAGGCGCGTGTGGCCTCGGCACTCTGGCCCACATCCTTGACGTCCAGGGCACAGCCCCGTTCTTCCAGCCAGGACTCTGCCTCCAGGAGCTGGGGTGGCAGAGAGGAGAGTCCTCCCTGGGTGATGGCCTCTAGGGCTCCCAGCCTGGAGTGCCCGGCCTCGGGCTTTGGAGTCGCGGTTCGCACCCTGGCTGCACACGGGAAGCGCCGAGAGTTTTGACGCTCCCTGTGCCTGGCCCTCAGCCCTAAAGATTCTGATCTGGTCTGGAATGGAATGGGAGTATCTGCATTTCTTAAAGGTTCCAGGTCATTCTGATGAAAAGCAATGACGGAGAACCACCGGTTTAGAAGAAACAACACAACAAAATAACACCGAACCCAGGGAGGGGCTGAGCTCTGGGTGCCATGCAGAAGGAAGAGCTCGGGGCAGGGGGCAGGGGGCGGGGGGGGCAGAAGACCACTTACTGGAGGGAACAGGAGACGCACAGAGCCTAGGCCCTGCTTACCCTCTGGGTTTCCTCGCGCCCAGCCCCCGCCCCTCCGCGCTCCGCCTCAGCCCCTCACCTCCGTCAGGAACTGCTGGGCCTCCTGAGCCTGCTGTAGCTGCAGCCGCCTCCGCGACGCCTCTGCCCGCAGGCAGCCCATGGCGCTCTCCAGCTGCTGCACCCGGGCGGCCACAGAGCCAGCTGCCAAGTGCCCGGCCTGCGCCAGCTTGTGTCCCGTGGCCACCACGGCCTGGGTCAGAGCCTCGTGGCTACTCAGCTCGCTCTCCAGGTTCTGTGGAGTCGGAGGAAGACTTTCCTCAGGGGACCCCAGTGTCGTGCAGGAAGCCTTACAGGATCCCATGGATTTGCCCCCGAAGAGTTCCCTGTCCTTATGGCCAACGAAGAACTCAGGGTGCCCCCCAAGCCCCCCAGAGGTACAGAGCTCCCAGCACCACTGGCTGACTGAGGCTTGTGCTCAATCTGAAGTTCGGGGTGCGGGGGGGAGCCCACACCTGGTGCTTCTCTTGCAGGTGTCGCATGGTGCTCAGGCTCTGCCCGCAGTCCTGGGCGGTAGCCAGAGGCAGCTTCTCCTGCACCCACGCCATCTCTTCGTCAACATCCCTGAAGAACTTCAAGAGCAGGTTCCGGGCCTCCAGGGCAGCTCTGCGCTCCTGCAGGGACTCCTGCAGGCTCTCAAACCTGCAGTGGTGGAGGGTGGGGACGGGGCAGGCAGGGACCATGGCCATCAGTGTTGGGGCCAGACGGTGACCCAGCGCTCGCCCATTCAGTGCCCCCCACCGTGGGGGGAGGGGACAGCCCAGAGGAGACAAGCTGGAGGGCAGGGAGGAAGGGGGCGGGCGGGATGCACAGGGGCAGCTCTACCTCCGAAGCAGCTGCTGGGCCTGGTCCTCCACGTCTTGGGCAAGGCAGCGGCCTTCCCCTGTAAGGACCCGGGCCTGGTCCAGCAGCCACCATGCCCGCCTGGCCTGCCCGTCCATGGCGGCCTCCAGCTCCCCCAGTGCCCCCAGGAGCCCGTCCAGCCCAGACTGGTCTGGGTCCCCGATGGGGGCGCTCAGCTCGACTTCCACAGGCTCCAGCCAGCTCTCTAGTTCCTCCACGCTCTGCCGGAGATGCAGGGCCTGGGGCAGAATGGGAGGTGGGCACAAGGGGGAGAGGCCCAGCGCCCCCTCCAGCTGCTCCGTGGTGCACAGAGCCCACCTTGCAAGCCTCTTGCAGAGCGGCTGCCTCCCTCCGGCTCTTGGCCCACAGCTCGTCCCAGAGCTCTCCCAGCTCCCGCAGCCGCTCCCGGATGCTCTCTGAGGCCGGGTGGCCCTCCTGCAGCAGCCTCTGCCCCTCCTACAGCCACATGGGGACACCGCAGGGACTTAGGACTGCTGGTGCCAGGGGGCCTGTGCTGGCTCCACCCCCAGCCTGTGTGCTCGCTGTGTGTCCCGGGGCAAATTCTTGAACCTCTCAGAGCTCATTTTCCTTATCCATAGAATGGAGAGAACAACCGTTATTTTGTTTAAATGAGATAAAACATCAAACATTTTTAGCAGGACACTTTATACTAGACGGAGCCAGCCTGGGGCCAGGACCTGCCCTTCGTAGGTGGGAGAGGATAAATTTAAAAGATGCTACACTTTGGCTCCTTTACCCACAGGACCGCTCACTGTGGCCTTCTCTGTCCCCTAATGTCTTTCCTAGATGGCTTTAAAAACTATCCCGTCAAAACATGATCTTTAGGATTCTTGAAAAGGCACTTTGTTTTGGAGAGGGTGCTGCAGGAAAGCTACTGTTTCTCGCTACCCTTGGGTGCTTAGCATGATGCCTGTCTACAGAAAGCACTCGATGAATGTCGGCCATCTGTGACTCTGGATCAGAGCCCTCGTCAGGGCTCTGCGGGGTCTCCCCCTGCTCTCTGGCCTGCAGGCCCTTCCCACGGCCCTCAGGGCCTCACCATCTGCAGCCTTTGTTGGTGGTGGACACTTGCGTCTAGCTCGGCCTGGAGACTCTGCTGCTTCCACAAGTGGGCCTGCAGCACAGCGGGGTCCCTCCATCCCTCTTCCAGGGCCACCGACTTCTTCTCCCTCAGCCACATGGCCACCTGCACATACGCGGAGGACCAGGCTCTGCTGCCTTGGGCTCTCCCTTTCCCCCAAACCTCTGGACTGCCCCAAGGAAGGGGGGCCTCTCCCCAGAGCAGCTCCTTCCCCACCACAACCACTACCCACCCCCCAACCCAAGGGGAACCTCAGAGGAATCCTGCAGGAAAGTCTGCAGCTGCCGGAGCTCCTCTAGCTGGCGGCGACGGGTGCTGGCTCGCTCTACCAGGGCCTCTTTCCTGCCAGAAGGAGGGTGTCATGGGTCCTCAGGTCCCCTCCCTGGACCTGGAGCTGCTCAGGGCTGTGTGCACATGCCCCCCATGGCCCTTCTCCTGGACCAGGATGCCTGGAATCTGGGGTTCCCTTTGAAACGGAGAGACCCTCTACTCCCCCTCTTCACTAAGTCCTCATTCCCAGTACGTCACAGTGTGACCGTATTTGAAGACAGGGTTTTAAAGAATTAAGTTAAAATGAGCTCCTCAGGGCGCCCCCTAACCCGCTACGTCAGGTGTCACACACACAGGGACAACCCTGTGAAGCGAGAGGAGGATGGCTGTCTGCAAGCCAAGGAGAGGGCCTCAGGACAGACCACCGGCCAACGTCTGGATGGAGGACTTCTGGCCTCCAGCATGGGGAGGACATCCGTCTCCGGCGTTGACGCCGCCCGTCCGGGGGGTTCGGTCGGGGCCGCCCCAGCCAACTAGCACAGCGTCCAAACCACCGTCCGGATCCTGCACTGCGATCAGGAAGAACTTTGAGCGGGTCCCCACCCAAACGTGTATGTACTTGTGTGTGTGCGTCTACTGATTTATGTATGCGCGTACCGCTCTCTGTACCAATGTATCAAATACATTGCCATAGGCACAGAAAGAGTAATTAGGCACGTGATCTAAAAAACAAATAGGAACAGATGTCTAACTCTGCCCGCATCCGTATAGTCTCCACGCCGGTGTTGAGTGGAAACTCTGGTCTCCCTCTGCTGGGGCTACCAAAGGGTGTGGGGGCTGGAGATGGCGCGAGGCTTGATGAAATGTGTACCCCTCCCCCCGCAGAGGATGCCAGAAGCCCAAAGGGAGGGGTCAGGGTGGCACTGTCCCGGGGGGCAGTCAGGCCTGCCAGAAACCACCTAAGGTGATTGGGGGTCACGAGAGGAGGGTGCTGACAGAGACCAGCAAACCAACATTTGTCATCTGTCAATCAAAGACCTCCTGGTAGCCACGTGGGGTCCCACGTGCAAGGAGTAGGAGTGAACGGCCCAGCCCTACCCTTGCCGGAGTGTCTGCACGCGGACTGACAAGCACTGCGGACCCCGGTGGGCTCTCTGGGAAAGACAGAGACACCCGCCAGTCTGAGATCTGACTTTTGGCCAACTCTGCCTTGCTCTAAAAGTCTGAGAAGCTGGATGAGGTGGCTGAACCAGATGGGCTTTTATGAGGACAAAACGCAGAGCCTGGAGTCTCGTAAGCCATGCCAGGTTCATTTAAACGAGCGTGAGAAATGTGCCAACCTGCCTGAGTGGCGGGCACCATGCTGAGACATCAGGGTATCTTCTAAATCCTCCCCACTACCCTAAGAGGCAGGCATTGTTACCGCCCACCCCCCCCAGACCCGAGACTCTGTGAGGCATTTCCCCTTAGTCCCACCATGAGGGGGCAGCACAGGAACTCAGGACACGGTGGCCCTGGAGGCCGAGGACACTTAGCCACCGTGCTTCCATGAGGTCTTCCCTCCTTCAGTTTCCCGGGACACGCTTCTTGGTAAAACTCCCTTTTATCCCCCCGGGTGGCCACACGCTGGGCTGGGCAGGAGTGCTGGGGCCTTGGCATTCACCTCAGCCCCTGGAAAAGGCTGGTGAGCTTGGCCCTCCCGCCCATGGCCCAGAGCCAGACATACCTCAGGAGCATGGCCTGGCACCGGCCCAGGGCACCCTGGGCCTCGGGGTGCCCACCCTGGTGCAGGCTGCGGGCCGCGGCCTCCAGCGCACTGATCTTTTCAGCCTGAGCCTCCAGGCCCCGCTCCAGCACCTTGTGCTTCTGCAGGAGGGTCTCCACGGTGGCCAAAGAGTCCTGGCAGGAGCAGGGAAGCCGCTCCTGTCCACGGGGCTGCCCCTCCCGTCCCAAGCTGCCTGCTCACCGACGGCCACGCCACCCAACGCTCACCCACATGGTGAGTGCTCTGCCCAAACCCGTCCCCCTGATTTCTCAAGGCTGCGTTTGGCTTTAGGGCAGTGATCCTTAGCCAGGGAAGGTACTGGGGATAAGGGTCAGTGTCAGATTCTTCAGGGCAGTTGGAGCTTTTACACCTAACAGGAACACCCCCTCCTCCGCACTCTGGTAAGACCGTGTCAGCACAGGACAAGCTAGCCCCCGAGTTTTCTGAGGTCTCCCCTGAGTCAGGCTTGCCTGCCACAGGGGTTCAGACAGTGGCTGGAAGAACAAACCTCAGTGGAGGGAAGTGAAGAGGGCAGAGGTGAGAAGTTGTGGGAAGGAGGCAAGAGTGGGTCAAAGGGCCCGCGCTCACCCTCTAAGCTCCCGGGACATTCCCTGTGGGGCCGAGCCCCCGCCCCGGTGCACAAGGACTGCAAACATGGACGGGTGAAGACTTCGATGACTGATATGGTAGAGGGTGGGGGGGCCCCCCCTTGGCCTGGGGAGCTCAGGCAGCACTGGTCGCTGCTTTGGTAAAGCCCGTGTCGGCACCTACCCCCGGACCCCCGCTAGCAAGGCAGGCCTCCTGGCTGCAGAGCCAACTTTCCATCTGCTCCATAGAACTCAGAACCAGCTGTCAAGAAAGGAAAAGGCAAAAGGAAGTGAGCAGAGGGTCCTGTTGCTGGAGGTGGAGTGACCGTGTTGGTGCCCCGAGGAGAAATCAGGGACCAAGACCCTGGCTCAAAAGAACGATCGCACAGCCGGCAGGCTTGCTGCGGGCGAGCTGAGCGCTGGGTGGTGGGCAAACCCCTGGAATAGCGGCCTCTCTGGGCTTGGCTCTGACCAGGGGACGGTGGGGTTAGGTGGGGGCAGGATGGAGGCTGCCTACCTGGAGGTCCAAGGCCTGCTGCAGCTGGAGCCGGTGCGCCTGCCAAGCCCCCTCCAGGCTGCTCAGCTCCCGGTCTAAATCAGCCAGGGCCTGGCGGAGGTCGGGGGTAGATGGGCGGCCGGCTGCAAGCAGTCGCTGCCCAGTGCTTTGGGCCAGGCTGATGCTGTCTGTCCGGGAGTCCAGTTCGGCCTGTCGCAAGACTGGCCTCAGATCCCCGAGGCTGGGGCTCCCTCCATGCGAGAGAGGAGGCACGAGACGGGAGCACAGCGGAGTGGGTGGGATGCAAGAGGAGAAAGGCAGAGGCAGGTGAGGGAGAAAGGACCCAAGAGAAAGGTGGGATCACCGGTCGGGACAGGGCAGAGACGAGGTGAGGTCCCAGGGTCCCGGCCCTCACCTTGAGCTCCTGGTGCTCCTCCAGCCTGCGCCAGGCCTCGGCCGGGCTGCGCGGGGTGCTTCGGCCCTCCATCTCCGCCCGCAGCCCCCGGGCCCAGACCGCCAAGTGCCGCAGCTTGGCCTGCAGTTTCTGAGCTTCGTGTAAGGCATCCAGTGACTCCCCGCTGCCCACAGGTTCATCAGCTAGCCCTGGGGCCTCTGAGCCCCTCTTTCCCTCACACCCACACCAGTGCTCTCCATCCCCAAATCCCCTTAGCCAGAGAAGGGCCCATGGGCTGGGAATTCATAGGGGGACAATGCCAACGGTTATTTGAAGGACGGATAAAGGCTCTCAGGGGAGATGAGGGTCTAGGGGAAGGGGAGAGACAGAGAAGCTACGGGGACTAAGTCTGTGAGGAAAGAGGCCCAGGGGTTCGTACCGCTTCTGGGCCCCCCTCCAGAGCTGCCACCAACTGTCCATCACCTCCAGCTGCTTGCGGCTGAGGCTGTGGGCTGTCCCAGGGCTTCTCTGGCAGACGCGGCCCACCGCCCTCTCTAGGGACTGTGGGGGAAAGCCAGGCTCAGGGGCTGTAGTCAGGGGAGCCCTGGCTGCAGGAGGCCCCCAGTCTCCGGGTGGGTGTACTGCTGAACGCAGTCTACCGGCTCCCGGGGTCTCGAAGCCCTCCTGCCTTGTGTGCCTGAGCCGCGTCCCACAGAGGAGGACACACCTCCACCCGGGCCTGGAGGAGGCCCATTTCTTGCTCCAACTCCTTGTGTTTCCAGATCAGCCTCTGCACGCTCTCCAGATCTTTCCCATAGTCCGGGGCCTGGACCAGGGCGGCCTGGGAAGGAATACGTTACTGGCTTTGCCTTTGCCCCACTGCCCCCTCACTGAGGGGTCACCGGCCACGGGGTTTCTGTGTGAGAAGCAAGTACTCCACCTGACCCCCTTCCCCATGCCCTCTGCTGACCCCAGGCCCCTTCCTTCAGTGAAGGAGGACGATTCCCAGGAGAGACCAGGGGATGGATGTCCTTCCGACCCAGTCATCTCTGTGGTGCCCCCACACACCGTGTCTCACTGGTCTCTCATTCCTCTGGGGGGAAACTGAGGATGGACAGACAGCCAGGCCTGGCTGGCTCGGGCGGGGAGCAGAGGAGTAAGAAGAGTGAGGCAAGAGCCCCTTGCACGCCGAGAACAGAGCACCATCTGTGTCGCACAGGACTTCCTGGGGGGGCAGACAACTTCTCCACTCCCACCCTCCGCCAGCATGTAGCCCACGTTTCTCTGTGGTTGCTGACGCGCTCCGGGGCGACGCTCCTGCACGCTCTGGGCTTGCTCAGGGACATCAGAGGGAAGAGTGTGAGGGGGACCTGTGCTCTGGCCTCTTGACCCGCAGTGTTTCTAGAAGCCAGGTGGGCCAGCCACCAAGCCTGTAATGGGGTCTTCTGGGGCCCAGAGTTGATATCCCGAGAGCCCCTGGCAGACCCCTCTCCCCAGCCCTGAAGGACCCCAGCAGCATCTACCGCCAGTAAGCCAGCTGAAGAGGAGAGGGGGGCCGGGGTGGGACACACAGGAAACTCTGGGTGAGCGCACCGCCTCGCTGCTAGGTCTTGCTGCTTACCTTCTCCCCTATCTGCTCCGCGAGGTCATCCAGCTCTAGGGACAACGTATGTATCTCCAGGGCCCCTTCCAGCTGCAGCTGGTACCAGAGTAGGTTGCCATGGAAACTCTCCCATCTGCCAAGGAGGGTGTAAGGCTGAGTCGGAGGTGGCCCTCCAGCCCCCTCTCCTGGCCCCACTGCCTCCCACTCTGGGACTGGCCTGCTATTCAGCTGCTGTCGCCGCTGGTGGATGGTCCTGACTTGCTCAGGGTCCAGGTTCTCGAGCTTCAGGGACAAGTCATTGACGCTCCTGATGTGGGTGTCATTCACTGTGTCCTGCAGGGGGGGAGCGGGGGGGGGGAGACAGTGAGGGCAGCGGCAACACCCACCCCGAACAGTCACAGCACGTGGGGGTCTGCCCGGGCCCGAGAGAGGTGAGGGGCAGGGTGTTGGGGGAGCAGAGGCAGCCGCACCCCCGGCTGGGTGCAGTGAGCTAGATGCCCTAGTGGCCTGCAGCCCCAGCGTGTCTGAGCCTAGGAAACACGCTCCTCGGTCAGAACCCAGCAGGCGATGATTAACAGAAGCTTTAAAGTTAAATTGCTCAGGAAAGCAGTTGGTAAGAAAGCAAGAATAAGAATTGAGAATAAGAATTGATAAAAGCAAAGCAAATGGTGGAATGAAATGGTGAGCTTGGGTCTCCTGGTGTCGGAGTGTCTGCACCCCTACAAGTCCTGGGCTGGGGCTGCTTAGTGAGAGGGGCTTACGGGTCCATGGGGTGGGGGTCCCCGGCAGTGGGAGGGAGCGCAGGGGTCCTGCCCCCAGTAAGAGCAGCTAGTACTGGTGGAGCTGCTTAAAATTCCCAAAGTGCTTCCAAGGAAGGGTCTCGTACGAGCTGGGCAGGGAAGGGGGCTTCTCTCCTCGTACAGACGCCAGAGCAGAGTCAGAGGCCACCATGGCTGATGCGTGGCCAGGCTGGGATCGGAGCCCCGCTCCTTGAGCCTCTCTGGCGCTCCTTCTACCGCAGCGCCTGGCACCGAGGCTGTGAATTCCACTAGCAAAGGGGAGCTGGGGGCGAGCACCGCGGCCTTTTACAAACTGTACGTACTGATGCCGGAGGGAGGACGGGAGCGTGTTTGGTCTCTAACACCTGACTATGACTACATTTGTCCTATTTCTTTCGTCTAGAGCACATAAGAGAAAGAGATTTGGGGGGTGCGTGTGGTGAGGAGGAGCCAAGAGGCTGAACGGGGCTTATGGGTAGTTGCAGTTTACTGCTGGATTATCCACTCCATCCAGGCAGACGTGCATTCTTTTTTAAAATTTTGAAATAATTACAGATACACAGGAAATTGCAAAAGTAGTATGGAGAAGCCCCACGTACCCTCCCCCCAGGTCTCCCTGAGGGTAAAATCTTATATAACTGGGGCACAAAGTGGAAACCAAGAAATGGACATTATAACTACGAACCCGACTACAGGCTTTATTCGAAGTGTGTCTGTTTCTGCATGCGTGCATCTGTGTGTGTGGGGTACAGTTCTCTGCAGTTTTATCACAGGTATAGACTGGTGTAGCCACCGCCTCATGTCCTTGCTCCCTTACCTAAGAGGCAGGCGTTATCCCCATTTTATTTTATTTTTTATTTTTATTTATTTTTTTAAAGATTTTATTTATTTATTTGAGACAGAGAGAATGAGAGACAGAGAGCATGAGAGGGAGGAGGGTCAGAGGGAGAAGCAGACTCCCCGCCGAGCAGGGAGCCCAATGCGGGACTCGATCCCGGGACTCCAGGATCATGACCTGAGCCGAAGGCAGTCGCTTAACCAACTGAGCCACCCACGCGCCCTGTTATCCCCATTTTAAAGATGGAGAAACTACGGCTTGGTGAGATGAGGGGGCCTGCCTGAGCACATGCAGATAGTAAGCATGGAGCTGTGGCTGGAGCCCTCCCCTGACCCATGCTGGGTCACTACTCGAGCGGTATGTCCCCCGTGGGGACACAGTGACTGACCTCTCCCCCACAGGGCCCCCTTACCCGGGCCCAGACTCCTGGGAGCTTGCGGAGCCGCCTGCGGAGCTGCAGACAGTGCTCAAGGTCCTGGCCCAGGTCGCCCAGGTTCACCATCGCCTCCTGTGGAGGCCGAGGGGTGAGGGTCTGGGGGCAGTGCTCTGAGGCCCGGCACCAGGGCACCCAGCCCCCCGAGTGGTGTTGGGGCAGGGGGTGGCTTTGGGGACTTCCTGCTGGGGCTCCCGCCTGTCAGGGAGCTGGGGAGCTGCAGGCCCGTCCTTGCCCCTGTCTCTCAGCCCGGCAGGCCCACCCCAGCTCTGCCCCCGCCCGGCTGCCTCTCACCGTCCCCTGGATCCAGGCCTCTGCAAAGTCAGCTCTCCGCAGAAACTCCAGGAAGTTCCATCTGTCCTCCAGGTCCCGGCCCCGGAGAGCCACCGCCTGCCTCAGCTTCCGCCAGCGTTCCTGCAGCACCAGCAGCCTCCGGGAGACCTCTCCTGCCCGAGGGTGGCTCTGGGCCAGGAGAGCCTCGCCGTCCTGGGAGACCGGACACCCGGAGATCTTGCCTGTCGCCCCACCCCCTGCCTGAGACCTTTCCCCTTGGCCACCCGAGAGCCCACACTTTGGGGTAGGACTGGGGCCGAGGGCCTGGCTGTTACCTTGGTGACAGAGGTTATGAACTTCTCGTGGGCCTGGACCTCAGCCTCGAAGGCCTGGTGTTTTCCCAAGAGCCTCAACTTGTCTTTCAGGTCCCCAGGAGGGATTGGCTCTTTCAGCTGCTGGACTCGCTCCTCGATCCAGTCCTGGGCCTGGTGGGGGTGGGGACATGAATCCCATGATGCCGGGGCTGCTTCAGTCCACAGAGATTCCCACACGCTCACTGTCAGCTGAGCCCAGGGAGTGGACTGCTGGCCCCCAGGGCTGGGCGAGTCAGTGCCGGGTAGGTGTAATCCAGTGCTTCTAGCCCAGCCGGCCCCCAGCCCCAGGGAAGGGCTGGGCAGGGCCTCTGGAGGGGAGGCTGGCCTGCTCCCAGGCCCAGATACTTGGCTCCCTCCCTCTGCCTCCCTGCCTCTCTCTGGCCTAGCCTTCACAGGCTCAGGAAGCAACAAGGTCTCTGCTCATAGTATCTTTGAATCAAATGTTCTGGGTCCCAGCAAGGCCTCTGGGAAAGCCATTGAACCTTCCAGACTCCAGTGTCCTCATCACAGGGATGTGGTGAGGCCTGAAGGAGCCTGTGAAGGTGAAGGTCATCTGTGCACTATAAAATGTTGCCCAAGCAGAAGGCACAGGGTTGGGGGTGGCCCTCTGACCTGGGTCACGGCCCTGGTGAAGCCAGTCAGCAGCAGAGAGGCATGCAAGGCTTGTCCCCGGCTCTCTGCCAGCTTCTTCACTCGAGCCCGATGCTCTAGCACTGTACGGAGCCGATCCTGCACGTTGGGGCCCCCAAGTGTCTTCGCCTGCTCACACAGAGCTGCCTCCTGCGGGGGAGGGTTGGGGGCTCAGTCTCCTGCTCTCCCACACTGGGAGGCTGGCCCAACGGGAAGCCCTTCCCTCAGCCCGCCATGGCCCAGGGCTGGCTGGTCCTCCCAGCAAGCCAGAACCAAACTCACAGCTCCCCTGTGACCATGTCATGTGGAGCCAAAGGGCCCTGGTATCCCCACAGTGTGGCTCTCTTCTTGAACCATACATCTCCCTCTGCTCAGCCAGCCCCAACCAGGCACCCCTATTCCCATAGGCTGTCCCTGTACATCAACATTACCTGTGGGTCACCAAGCACTCTATGTCCCCCATTCAAAACTCTCCAAAGTTTCTAGACTCCGCCCTCTCCCCCCTACCCCCGATTTCTGAGCATGCCCAGTTCTCTCTGAGCCTCTTACCTTCTCATCTTGGGCAGTCAGAACTTTCTGGAAAATCTTGTGTTTGCGGATCAAGTGCTCTACCTCTTCCACTGAGTTCCCCAGGGCACTGGTTTTCAGGGAGACCTGGATCAGCCCGTGGAGAAGTCAAAGAGGCCATTAGGGACTGTCCAGACAGCTGGGCCTCCCCACCTCCATTTGCAGCCATGTGGGCCTCCCATCAGGGATAAAGAAGGGGGAGCACGGGGAGCATGAGTTGTGGGGTGAGGGGGACCTGCCTCCTGGGCTGTGAGGATCTGGTCCAGGTGGCCACACTTTCTGAGGAAGAGCTGCTCCCGGTGCATGGCCTGCAGCTTCTCTTCCTTCTGCTCCCAGGCCTGGAACACCTGCTCCCGCTCATCCTGTAGGGCTCGCAGCCCTTCCTGGACCTGGGGACGGGCATGTGGGGAGCCCGCACTGGGGAGAGCCGCACGGACAAGATGGAAGCCGATCCTGAGGGAAGCCCCTGACGAGAGGCCAGCAGGGCACAGCGGGGCAGGGCGTGGGGTGATCGGGCTCAGACGAGGTCAGGGCAGGCTGGAGGGGGGGCACCGGACAAGGGGGCCCACCTCCTTGCTGGGTGTCCCTACAGCCAGAAGCGCCTGCTGGCCCAGCTGGGAGGCCCTCTGGTGCAGCTCCTCCCGGGCCTCCAGCTCTGCCCGAAGCTGCCGGTGGGCGCTGAGCAGCGTTAGAAGGCCACTGCCGGGCTCCTGGGAGTTCTCTTCCTGCAGCTCCTGCCACACGGCGGCCACCCAGGAGGTGTAGTCCTGCACCTGGGTCCCCAGGAGACGGAGGGAGAGAGCTGGGTGAGGGCTGGGCTGGGCGGCAGAGAACCGGGTTCTGAGGCCAAACTATAGCCTGCCCACGTCCACTCGCACGGCTGAGTAGCTGTCCCAGGTCAGAGCCTCCGCTGAGGCTCACAGGGCCTTTTGTCACCAGGTTCCTCTGAAGTCATCCAACCTAATCCTTCCAGGTCCACGAAATGTCCACATTTGCCACCTCGTCACCCTCACAGAGACTCCTCACCCTTTGCTTTGGTGCCCGTCCTGCTTAGAAGCTCCTTCTCCTCCCTTCCGAGTCTTCCCAGCTCACCTGCTCTTCAAGGGCCAAGGCCTTGTTTGCCTCACGAAGGCCTCCCGGACACTATGACACCTCACTGCTCACCTCGTCCTCAGGATTTCTACTTTAATACTTACAAACTGTCTTCTGATTTGTGTTCAGTGTTCGAGCTGGAGGGGCCTCGGATCCTTGTCCAAACACCTCATTCCAGAGGTGAAGCAAGGTCAGTAGCACAGTGTGTATGAAGGACGTACTCACAAACAGAGGGCGACAACTAAGGCTCCGTGCCTTGCTCACGCTCATGCTACTAGAAAGTAGCCAAGGAGGATCCCTCAGCTCCAGCCCACGTGCTCAGTGCCCTGACCGGCCAGACAGCCAGCCAGACGTACCCACAGTCCTCTAACTCATGTCCGCACTGGGTTTCCCTCCAGAGCAGGAGGGCCTCAGTAGTACACGCACATGCATGGGAATGCGCACGCGCACGCACACTCGCACGCACACGCACACCGCCCAAGAGGAAGGAGCCCCCACCGCTCGGTGGAAACGGGCCAGGAGGCACGCCCGCTCCAGCTGGGTCCTGCGCTGTGCTGAGCGTAGCTTCAGGGCCTCCCAGGCCCGCACCAGAGTCTGCTGCCTCTGCCGCACGGCGTGGGCCTGGGGCCCAGGCCCCAGCTTCTGTACTGCGCTCGCGGCCTCTAGCAGTTCCTGCAGCTGGGGGCAGGTGGAGTATAGGGAGGGAAGGGTCACGTCCTCCTAGAGGCTGAAGGGCCTGCCCATCCCGCAGAACCCCCCCTCGAGCCATGCCCTGCCACGCACAGTAGGCCCAGTTGGGGGCCCTGCGGGAGGATGGGAAACCCAGAGGAAGAGATGGACAGGCCTGAGGGGGCCTGTAGGGGCCCGGGGGGGAGAGGCAGCCAGACCGGCTCACCTGCTGCCCAGTGCCCACGAGCTCATGCTCCAGCTCTTCGTGTCTCCTCAGCTGGGCCTCCAGTCCACGCAGGTCTGGGGCCACCTCACTGGGGAGGCCTGTGGCTTTCTCCTGAGGAGAGGAGATGGCCACGGCCGTCAGAAATAGAGGGTGGGGCACTGAGCCTGGGGTGGATCCACTTCTAGAAAGAACCCCCTTCCTCCCCTCGGGCTCATACCTGGACCTGCATGAGGGCTTCCAACAGATCTCCGTGTACTCTGAGGGTGACCTCGGCGTCTTGGAGCAGGTGGCCTTGGGCCTGGGTCAGCTCCCACAGCTCCGACCAGGCAGCCCTGTCTCCGGGGAATGTGGAAGACCAACGGGAGGTGAGCCATTGGCGCCGCATCCCATTCCACCCTTGGCTAGTCTTGTCAGCCCTCCTCCTCTCTGGGCTGCATCCAGGACTGGCCCAAAGCTCCCCTTCTGAACCCCCTTTCCTGCCTCAGGGCCTGCCTGGAGCCTTTCCAGCTTCACCATGAATTCAGTCCTTCGTCGCTATCATGCTCAGACCCTGATTTCTACGCTTTGTGGTCCTTCTTCCGTCTTGTGTATTCCAGTCTCAATTGTCAATCAGATTATGAATGTTCAAGGGCAGAAGTCACATCTTTTCTCCATTCCTCATGTACTCGGCCAACTCTCATGAGCTTCTAGGGCTTCCACCAGGCCAGGCTCCATGCCAGGGGTCATGGACAAGTCAGGCCTGGCCTCAGAGCCCGCAGGCTGGAGTTGGGGCCGGGAGGGACCCACGCCAGCCGGGTGGCAGCTAGGCAGTTCCTTCCCCAAGTCCCGGGAGCCAGGGGTTTGGAAAAGTGTCCCCGGGGGTCCGGGCAGGACTCCCTGACCTGCACACCCAGCTCTGCCTCCCTTCTAGGCCGCGGTCACCAGGGCCTGGCTCAGCCTCCCTGGGACCCGCGCCCTCTCTAGAATCCTCGCGGGCAGGCAGAGCCAGCGTGGCCCTCAGAGCAGCCTACCCTCTCTTAACACCCCAAGAGCTGCCTGCACCGTTCGCTCCCACAAACCTGCACCCCCGGCCTCGCCCACTGGGCACTCACTGCAGGTCCTGTTGCCTCTGCCGGGCATTGGGGGCGGCCCTGTGCCCGAGCTCCAGCAGGCTCTCTACCAGCGGCAGGCAGGCTGCCACCCACTGGCCGCCCAGCTCCACCTGGTGCTGGAACCTTGCAAACTTGGTGCGGAGGTGCTGAGGAGAAGAGGGGAGTGGGTGACGGAGCGGCCCCCCGCTGGTAAGGCTGCAGGCGCCTCCTGACCGTCTGGGCAATGACAGGTGGGACAGCCACGTGCCTGCACACCTCCTCAGAAGGCCTGTCCTCGGCCAGCACTCCCGACTCCCACGGCCCCCTTCTCCACAGCCCTGCAGGCCAGCCCGCTGCCCCCAGCCTTCCACCGGAGGGTGTCCTCCCAGCCCCAGCCCTTCTCACCAGGATGTGCGCATGGTCTTCTCCGAGGCTCTCCACTGGCCCGGCCGCCAGCTTCTGGCTAGCCAGCCAGCTCTGCAGCTCCTCAGCCTCCCCCATGAACTCATGCAGCTTCAGAGTCCCCTCCAGCTCCCGGCCCCTGGGGGGACAGCCCGTGGTTCCCACCTGCACACTCCCCTGGGGACAGCTGGCCCAGCGGAAGGGGGGAACCTGAAGGAGCTTATTTGTGGTCTCTGCGCAAGCCTGTGGCTCTGGATTCGGGGAGAAGTAAAGCCAAGAGGGCCAGTGCAGGGCAGCGGGTGCATATGCAGGGAAGAAACGAGAGCTGGGAGCTGGGTGCAGGGGGCTGAGCTCCTGCCCAGCGGGCCTGGTTGCGGACTTGATGGAAGGAGGTGAGTGACACCCAGCAAGGACTCCTCTGACACATCTCTGTGGGCCTGGGGCCATGGTTTGCTTCCAACTCAGGGTCACAGTATGGGAACAGTCAACCGTGGCTAGGCCCCCCGTACCCAGAGTGGGTGCAGTGGCCCTTACCATGTGGCTGCCCACTCCCGCAGTGCTTGCAGCTGCTCCCGGAGCCTCTCCCGGACCACGGCCAGCGGCTCAGCGGCCCCGGGGCCAGCGAGCTTTTGCGCCCTCTGGTCAAGCTTCTCCAGGGAGCTCCAATAGAGAGCCAGTTCCTGCTGCAGGGCCTGCCAGAACACATGCACCCAGGCCAGGCGCAGACTGGGTGGCTACTTCATCTACCCACCCATCCATTCAGCCACGGATCCTCAGACCCATCCATCCACTCATCTACCCACCATTCATCCCCAACCCATCTCTCCAGCCATGCACCCATCACCCACCTCCCCGATACTGATGGAGTTCTTACTGTTCCATAGAAGTGAGGACATAGGGGTGCCCTCAGAGGGCTCATTATTTAGCAAGGGAGGGTAAGTGAGGCCAAGGGGGGAGGGCACGGGAGGCACTGCACTAGATCCCAACGATACAGTAGACTGCGACAGCCGGGGCTAAGCGAGCTGCCCAGGATGTCTGGGACACCGAAGCGCCACAAGGGCATGGCTCTAGGCACGCCCTGTAGGAATGGCTGAGAAACCCATGCCCAGGCAAGAGGACGCTTCAGTGCCAGCCGGAACCAGGGCTGCTGTGGGGTCCAGGGCTGTGGGGTCCTGAGAGTCCGAGACCAGGAAGGAGGAGGGTGCTCCAGGCCTCCCTCCCTTTAACCAGGGGGATGCTTGTGGGGGGAGGTAGGTTTCAGGAGGGCATTTGGTTAACTCAAAGGGTGACATTCAAAGTGTGGGAGGAAGAACCCTGCGGAAGATGTGGGGAGGGTTAGAACAGGTGACCCCAAGAGGGGAGAAGGTGCTGGGGCAAGAGAGGAAGAAAGCAGAGAAATCCCAAGGCTGCAGGGGTGTAAACTGGTCAGTGTAAACTGGTCCAAGAAGGGGGGCAGGAATTCTTCAAAGGGCTGTCTCTGAAGAAGGGGAGCACTGGGGATGGGCAGGGGGCCTTGCTGGACTTGGTGGGCTGGCAGGAAAGGAGCTGGCCATATCTTCAGGGAGAAACAGCAGGGCTCTGTGCCTCTGGAAAGGAGGATGTGCCCTCTGCAAGTGTGACAGCCCTCTCCGTGGCTCATCGTCACCCCGGTGCAGACCGTGTGGAGGCTGCCCGGGACATGGTACCTGGTGCTTCCCAATGAGCCTGATGGTTGCTGCCTCGTCTTCACCACAGTCCTGACTGCTCACCAGGGGCTGCTTCTCCTTCACCCAGTCCTCCAGCTCCGACGCAGCCAGCAAACACTGCCAGGAATGAGGCCACCTCACCCTGATGATGTCAGATGGGACCTTCCACCACCCCTCGGGGACATCATGCTAGGCTCTCCAACAGCCCGAGCGGAGAGGATTCTGTGCCTATTGGGGACTAGCCAGCTCCCGGGCCAGGGTTCTCACAACTGACGCGCCCCCTGAGAGGCCCAGCTCCTGTAGACCTCACAGCGTGATCCCGGGTGCTCTCCACTTCCTACCTGCTGGAGAGCGACAGCCTGCTGCAGGCACTGGGCCTGCGCCTCACACGTCTGCTCGAGCTCTGCCCAGTGGTCCTCCAGCTTCTGGCACTGCTCCAGGATGCGGGGGGCTTGGGGGTGCCCCGAGGCTGCAAGGCTCCGTCCGGAGCCCAGAACCTGCTGCACCTGTCCCTGGTGGGCTTTCACCTCCGCCCGGAGCTCCTGCCATAGAACAGGATGACAGGCTGTCACCTCCGGGTTCCCTTAGTCACAGGGGGCCTGGAACAGAGCCGTGGATGTGGCTCCGGGCTCCACTGGGGCAAAACTCCTGGGCAGGGAATAACTGGGGGCAGAGACTTGGAAATCGGGACACCCTGACTGGTGATATTCTAAAGTCTAGGAATGGGAGGTCAAGGATCCTGGAAGGAAAAGGGGGCCGCTACCTCGTGCTTGCGGCAAAAGCTCTGGGCACCGCTGGTGCATGGGGCAGAGCCGGCACTGCGCATGTGCTCAGCCACCCAAGTGAGCTCCACATTGCTCAGTTGGTAGAACTGATACAGCTCCACTGAGGCCTGCAGCTGTAGGCGCCGGGCGGCCAGATGTCCCTGCAGGGACTCGAACCTGGGGGGAGGCAGAAGAGGGCGGACGGTGGGAATGGCGGTGGAGGGGGACGGACAAGGCCCTCAGGGCTTTCCACAGCCCAGCCAGGGACCCACGAGGAACAAAGCAGAGGATGGGGGAAAGCCTCATCTGACAACAGGGAGGCAGCTGGAGAGGGCCCAGGGCCCAACCCTTCGCCCAGGTGACCTGCTTGACTTCAGACTGTGGGGTACTGAGGATGCCAAGTTGGGGTCTCTGGCCTTCCTAAGCCAGGAATGACCCTCCTTGTAAGGGGAGGAGATTTGGACAACCTCAAGTCCTGTAGATGCCACTGCTGGGCTCAGGGGGTGAAACCGTCCTCATATTCACATGGTGGGGGGTGGCACAGAGTGGGGTGAAGATGGAGCAAGCCGGTGGGTACCTCTGTAGGCACTTTTGGGTCTGCTCCACGATGGTCTGGGAAGTGAGCCCCTGGCGGGCCTGGGACACAAGGGCAGCCATCTTGCCGGCCAGGGCCTGGCTCTCGCTTCCCAGTTGGCCGTGCCGCTTCTGGAGCCCCCGGCTCGAGCCCAGGTCCTGCCCGGTTTCTGCGCTCTGCAGGGCCCCGTCCAGCTGCTCCATCTTCTCCTCGGCAGCCTGGGGAGAGTGCAGGGCTCTGCAGCGTAGGCTTGCAAGTTCTTGGACTCCGAGACCACACCGCCTGCAGCTTACCAGATTCACTGAGGACCTGCTCGGGACCCCGGACCCCCCGTCGTGCCCCCCCGCCCCGCACCCGGAGCCTCATGAACACTCCCGTCCCCTCATGCTTCTTCCCCCACAGGGATTCCGGTTGTGCTGACTACACCCTGGGCACACAGGAGGCACACTGGCAAAGCTGGGCTCCCCTTGCCAGAAGCTAGAGGCCTCTAAAGACTGCAGGACTTCCCAGGGCTACTCCAGAGTTAGCAGAATACCCCAGACTCCTCCCCACCCCTTCCCGTCCTGCTTGTTCCCCCCACCCCCCAGCCTGGCCCAGCGCAGCCTCAGTCTCCCTCCTGTGCCCTGCCCCTCTTTGGCAGACCTGCAGCAGCCCCAGAAGCTGTCTGGCCTGCCGGAGCCGGTCCCCCTGCTCGGCCAGCTTGTGCTTCAGCTCTTCCCACTTGCTACTCAGGCACTGGAGGCTGGCCTGCACATCTTCCCGGGCACGGGGCCTGTCGCTTGACAGCTGTCTCCCCACCTGGAGCGGACACAAAGGCCGAGGGAATTTTGTTGAGTTGCTGGTACCATGAGGGGCCACAGCAGGCGGGACCCAGGTGGCAGGGGCGGGGGCGGGGGCAGGTAGTTGGCTACAGGTTGCATTCTCCAGGCTGCAAGGGCTCAGGCATTTCCCGCAGCCCCAAATCTGTGGGCAGAGGCGGGCGGGCTTTCCCCCGATGCTCCCAGTCGAGCAGGGTGAGCGCGCAGTGGATCGGTAGGGAAGTCTTTGTTCAGGTGGAGGTGGCAGCACCAGAGCTGCCCGGAGAGCTGGGGGTGGCGTTGCGGGGAGAGATGATGGAGGCGTTCTGGGCTGGTTTGGGCACCAAGACAGAGGGGTACCCAGCTGAGTGGGGGAGGAATCTGGGGGATCCTAATTCCGCAGTAACTGAGAATGAGTCTTCCTGCGGTGAATTTGTTCCATGGAAACAGGCCATCCATCTGGGCTCGGTATTTGAAGAAGAAAAGGCCCTGCACCCCTGTCCGGCGCCCCCACCTGCTGCAGGCCCTCCACGTGCCCACAGGTGGCCAGCAGCTCGCGCTCAGCTGCTTCGTGCCGCTTGAGTTGCTGCAGGATGTTGCTGGGCTCTCGGGAAGGCTCATCCGCTGCCCTCAGCCCCTTCTCCTCTATCCACAGCACCAGCTCCGCCACATCCTGCTTCCATTTCTGCCCAAGAACCAGGAGAGAATGGGTCTCATGACCAGGGGTGAGGGCTGTTGCATGAACCTCTAGAGAGAGGGGTCTCACGGACCTCCACGGGAAAGCGCAGGACCCAGTGTGCCAGGTGGGGCCTGGGTTACTGCTCGCAAGTGGGGGCAGGGAAGCTGAGATGGGGAGGGAAAGGTTTCCCCTCATGGTAGGAGGAGGCCCGGGGAGGGACGGCCTGGGCCCCATGGTCCCTGGGCCCAGAGAACAAGAGCACTCGGTCAGTTCTCACTACTCAGCCCACCTCAGATCATGTACGGCCATTTCTCTCCTAATAGGCTTATGCTACAGGAGACCTGTAGACTGACCCAGCTCTGAGCCCCTGTGGGGGCTGAAAAAATATGTAACAGAGCCGAGGTCTGCAGCGGGTGCCCATGGCACACACATGGGCCTAGACTGTGGCCAGAAATGATGGGCAAGGGGAGTCAGCAGACAAGGGAGGGCAAGGGGGTTTATCAGGACTTTGGGTCCAGTGCTGCCTCCGAACAGTGTGGCCTCAGCCTGTTCTCCTCATCTGGAAAAATCAGAGCCATAATGCGGTCTCACAAGAGGGGCCATGAGGGTCAATGACAGAACACATGGGAAAGTGCTTTGCAAACTGTAGAAGGCTCTGCACGGCTCCGCAGCCGCGGACTCCTAGGCACTCCTGGGGGGGGGGGGGGGCGGGACTCGGGCCGGCCTCACCTGGAGCCGGAGGGAAGCCAGCAGCTGCCTCCTCCTCTGCTCACTCCTCTCCTGGACCCTGGCCCACTGTACCTGGATGCTCTGCAGCCGCTCTCGGACCCTGCAGGCCAGATGGAGAGGGGGAGGGCTGGGGGGGGGCGCTCCACTCCGCCCAAGGCCCACCGCAGCCCAGGGTGTGCCCCGCTGCTGCCCTGCCCCCCACACCCCCTCCCAGCCTCCAGGCCGCAGGCTTTGCAGGCCGGGAAAGAAAGGTGGCAGGTGCTGCGCACGCAGGCCTTGACTCACTTGTGCGCAGCAGGGTGTTGGCTGGGGGCCAGCTTCTCGCCATGTGCCCACAGAGCCTCTGCTCGACGGCCAAGGACACCCAGGAGCCACCCAAACTCCTGGTGCTGCTGCAGCAGGCTCTGGGCCTCCCCTACATCGTCCTGGGGGTGCAGAGACCCGGGGTCATGCTTGGGACGATGGGGTCAGCACCATCTTGTCCACCGCTGGCCCCAGGGCCACCAGCCCACCCCCCCCGACTTCAAAGCTCCCCCCAGTGATGGGGAAGCAGCCCTGCAGCCCCGTATCCCTGGCCCCCTACCCCAAGCTTGTCCTGCTGCAGGAAGGCCTCGCGGCTGGCACAGGTAGCAGCAAAACCATCTATTTCTCTGCCAAATCTCTGCAGCTCCAGTCCCTCCTGCAGCTGCTGCCATCGCTGCTCCCAGGCGGCCTGCAGGCCCTGGCCTTGCTGGCTCAGGAGCCTCAGAGCACGGGCCACCTCTTGGGAGTCTGGGGAGTCCAAGGCAGAAATGGCCTGGCCCTGGGCCTCCAGCTGCTGCAGCCTGTCCAGGATGACAGGCAGAAGGTCAAACCCCGTCAGCTCCCCTCCTCCCCCTTCCGCTCCTCTCCCTTGATCATTCATTTCAGAGCTCCGATAGAGGGGGACCTGGCAGGGGCGTCTGAGGACGGTAGCCCCAGTGGTTCACCTGTCCCCTGGAGCAGCTGCGCCTGGGCGCACCGGTGATGCGCAGAACATACCGGGCCTAGCACACTCCTTAGGTCTCAGTAGTGGCCCTGCTCCCTGTCCTGTCACACCCTTGTTCCAGGCCACCATTCTACTGGCTATGCCCAGGCAAGGAGAAGGGTCCCTCAAACCGCATCCGTGCCACCGTATGCTCATGAGCATTAGAAAGGGTGCCTCTCAGCCAGTTGAGTGCACGGGCACACAGCTTGGGGACAGGTGACACCTTTGTGTGGGTTAGAAAAGGCTCCACTTCCTCTGAGGTGAGGCAGCCCTGAACCATTAGTAGAGTCCGGAAGCAGAGGATGGGATGGATTGAGTGCCCACTCGGTCACCTTTGGGCTCCCCTATGTGGGCACAGCCTGTGGACTGTGCGTGGTGACCCTGCCTGCCTGACAGACCTGTGCCGTCATCCCTGCAGGATGAGAGGTCCAGCCATCCTGAGGAGCCATCTGACTCCAGGAGCCTGTGGGGTCTGCATTATCTGGAATGCCTTGGGAGGCTAGGCTGCCCTGACTAAAAGCAATCCATCAGGCTCACCTGGATGGAATATGGCCAAGCCTGCACTTGACAGAACCTTCCAGGAAGCTCAGATTCTGCCCTGCATCCCAACCCCCCTCCCTGAAGTATGCAGGATGCCTGACCAGTTCTTGGTTACATCCCCCTCCTTAAAACCTGCTGGACACTAGCCTGGGCTACTCTCCCGGGTGACACTCTGCTTCCTGCCTCTCCCTCTCTGGTGGCCTGTCCCCACAGGCCTTAGCCAGCCCGAAGCCCGCCCTGTCTGCCCTCCCATCCTGACCTCTCCTGCTGCAGCTGGATCTCCTCCAGCAGGTCTCTGTGCTCCATCAGCAGCTGCTGGGCCGAGGCCACATCTGAGGCCACATCCACCACCTTCGCCTCGCTGCGCAGCTGAGCCCAGACACCTTCCGCCCACAGCAGCAGATGCTGACTCTCCCGCAGGAAGCTCCGCCGCGCCCGCGCTTCGGCCTGGGCCCTGGCCTGTCGGGCCACATGCTGCTGTCCCCGCTCCAGCAGCCCGTGCAGCCGCTCCACCTGTTCTTGCAGGGACCGGCTCTCTGTGGGGTCCGACTCCTCCGCTCTGGGAGATGGGGTCCACCGCCTCGTCAGTGCACTGCCCCGGGGCCTGGGGTCCAGGCTTGGATTCCCCAGGGGAAGGGGTGGCGATTCCGCACTCCCATCTCCCCCTCCCCTAGGGGCAGCAAGTCTGTGTGGCTCGCCCTTTCCTCGGAGCATTTCCTCATGCTCTTCCCCCACCTGCGCCCCTGCCTTTCAGACAGCACATCCTGCCCATCCTCCAACTTCTGGCCCAACCTCATTCCACAACCCTGCTCAGTCCTCCCCTGCCTCCCAGGGCCCCGTCACTGTGCCAAACCCAGGCTGTACTTCATGGCCGCTCTTTGCAGGTACTGGACGCTGCTCTCCAGCGTTAGCATCTTCTGCTGGGCCAGTTGCAGGGCACGGTGGCTGTCCTCTGACTGCCCCAGCTCTAGGGTTTCCAGCTGGAGTATCAGGTCTTGCAGTTGGACCTGTGTGGATCCACACTTGTGCAGAAAACTGCACACACCTGTGGTGCGTACCAGCTGCGTTTCCTTCTCTTTCTTCAGGGCTTCCAGCTGCCCCCACCTGAGCGGAGGGAGCAGGGATGTCTCCAGCACGGGGACATCCCCATCCATCCTAGGGCCTTGGCCAGGGCCTCACAAAATAGCTGCTACCAGGCTGGCCGCCCCACACCCTGTCTCTGACATGCCCAGTGTTTGCTCTTGGCATCTGGGGAGGTGGGTAAGCAGGCATGCAGGCCTGGGAACTGCATTCAGCCCATCCTGCACTCCCTCATTCTTACCTCCGGCTCAGTTCCTCCTGCTGTTGCTGGATTTGGGGGGTATCTTCAGGATATCTCTGCTTCAGCTGCTCCGCATTGCTGCTGACCTCAGCCCAGCAGCCCCTCCCCACAGCCAGAGCAGTGAGGAAGTTCTGAGGAAAGGAAGACCCAGGCCTTGAGGGAGCTTCTTCTCTTCCCATACTGCCCTCAAGACTACAAATGACCTCAGACACGCTCTGCTACATAGGTGTTTGAGTTGGATCCCTCTCGAAGGACTGGGATCTCTGTCCTTAAAGGGCTGGGAGGGTCCTTTAAAAGTTCAAAGCCAGGTATCCAAATTAGAAAGAAGTAAAACTGTCACTATTTGCAGATGACAGCGTATTATATACAGAAACCCTAAAGACCCCACCAACAAATTGTTACAACAAATAAATGAATTCAGCAAGGTTGCAGGGCACAAAATCAATCTATGGGAATATTTTGCGTTTCTGTACACTAATAATGAACTATCAGAGAGATTTAAAAAAAAATCTCATTTACAATTGCATTAGAAAGAATAAAATACCTAGGAATAAATTTAACAGAAGAGATGAAAAACCTACACACTGAAAACTATAAGACACTGATGAAAGAAACTGGGAAAAAACCCATAAATAAATGGGAAGATATAGCATGCTCATGGATCGGAAGAATTAATATTATTAAAATGTCCAAACTACTCAAAGCAGCCTACAAATTCAATATAATCCCATCAGAATTCCAATAGCATTTTTCACAGAAATAGAACAATCCTAAAATTTGTATGGAAACACAAAAGACTCTGAACAGGAATAGCAGTCTTGAGAACAAAGTCAGAGGCATCACGCTCCCCGATTTCAAACTATATAGTTTACTATAATGAGCTATAGTAATTACTTATAGTAATCAAAACAGTGTGGTCTTGGCATAAAAACAGACATATAGATCAATGGAACAGAATAGAGAGCCCAGAAATAAACCATGTACATACGGTCAATTAATTTATGACAAAGGAGCCAAAGATATACAATGAGGAAAGGACAGTCTCTTCAACAGTGCTGGGAAAACTGGACAGCCACATGCAAAGTATGAAACTGGACCCCTACCTTATACCAGAAACAACAATAGATTCAAAATGCTCAACACCAAAAGCAAATAATCTGATTGAAAAACAGGCAGAGGACCTGAATACACATTTTTCCAAAGAAGACATACAGATGGCCAACAGATACATTCAAAGGTGTTCAACATCACTAATCTTCAGGAAGATGCAAATGAAAACCACAACCAGAGATCACCTCACACCTGTTAGAATGGCTGTTCTCAAAAAGACTAGAAAAAAGTGTTGGCGAGAACTTGGAGAAAAGGCAACCATTGTGCACCGTTGGTGGGAAAGTCAAGTGGTGCAGCAACTATGGAAAAGAATACGGACGTTCCTCAAAAAATGCAAAATAAAACTACCACATAGTCCAGCAATTCCACTTCTAGGTGTTTAGCCAAAGAAAATGAAAACACTAACTTGAAAAGATAATCTGCACCCCCATGTTTGTAGCAGCATTATTGACAATAACCAAGATATGGAAGCAACCCAAATGTCCACTGATGGATGGAAAAAGAAGATGTGGTATATATACCTACCACATCCAAGAGAATTAAATATTTCTTTCATACTATAAAAAAGAATGAAATCTTGCCATTTGGGACAATGGGATGGACCGTGAGGGCATTACGCTACGTGAAATAAGTCAGATAGGGATAAACACTGTATGATCTTACTTCAATGGGGGACTTAAAAACACAAAACAAAACAAGATACAGAGGACAGATTGGTAGCTGTCAGAGTAGGGAATTGGGGGTGGGTGCAATGGGTAATGGGGGTCAAAAAGCACCAACTCCTAGCTATAAAATAAATAAGTCATGGGGATGGAATATATAGCATGGGAACTACAGTTAATCATACTGTGTTGCATATTTGAAAGTTGAAAGAGCCCCCCAGTTCTCATCCCAAGAAAAAAATTCTGTAACTGTGTGTGGTGATGGATGTTAACTAGACTTATTGTAAAACATATACGTGTATTGGGTCATTATGTTAATAATATGTTATATGTTGATGATAACTAGACTTACTGTGGTGATCGTTTCACAATACATACAAATATCCTATCCTCATGTTGCATACCTGAAACTGATATCATGTCATACATCAGTTATACCTCAATAAAAAAAAAATTCAAGGCCAGACGCCCTGCTCCTCCTTCCCAGACAGGACTAGAGTGAACATGGCCAGGTCAGGCACGGGCGCAAATACCGGAGAGGCAGGGAGGGAGAAGGATGGGGGAGAAGGAGGGGCAGCGGGGCCGAGCAGCTGAGACCCCCACCTCGGCCCAACGGGGGCAGTACCTCATATGTGAGCTGTGTGACCTCCAAGTTGTGGGCCTGGGGCTGCAGCGTTCGGAGCAGGGCTGTCTGGTTCTCCAGCCAGGACCACAGCTCCCCACAGAAGCCATGGAAGCCACACAGGGCTACTGTCCCCTCCAGCCGTGCCCTGTGGTGCTGAGGAGAGGCCGGCCCAGGGGTGGGGGTGAGGTCAGCTTCCCCATAGGGCCCTCAGAGCCATCCCGTCACCCCTCCGGGCAGAATGTACTCTTTTGATCTGGCTCTCAGGTGCAGCCATACTTCTGTGGGAACTGGCTCTGCCTAGCCCTCCAGGCTCTCCCCCTGCAGCCTACCCCTCCCAGCTTCACTTCGGGGCTCCAGGCACTCTGGCCTTTACTCCTCCAGGGCCTCCTTCTTGCCTTGGCATAGGTCCTGCCTAGGGCATGGTCTCCCCGTCTCCCCTGCCCCCCCACCCCGCCCGGCTTTACCTGCTCTTAGCCCCTCCTTGTTCTAGTCTCAGCCAAAGTGTCCTTTCCTCAGAGATGCCCTCCCCAGCTCCCAGCCTGACCTGGGCTCCCAGCACACCTACAGCCATCTACTGACTTCTCATCCTCCCTGCCATGACGTAAACTCCTTGCGGCCGGCGTGCACGTCCAGTAAGTGCTCAGTCTCTGGGCTCACAGCTCAGGGTCCTGTACAGAGCAGGTGCTCCCTGACCGTCTTCTTGAACAAGAGCGGTACCTTTGCCAAGGCCTGCAGGCCCTCATAGTCCTGGCTCAGGCAGTCCTGTGTCTGGAGTATGGTGTTAGGGTCAAAGTTAGCGTCAGGCTCAGCCGAGAGGGCCATCTTCTGGGTGCCCGGGGGGGCGGAGTGGCAGGAGACCTCACTCCAGGTCCCCAGGTGCCTCAGGCCTTCCTTTGGAGAGCTCAGGGCAGACACCACCTGTAGTGACAGGACAGAGGGCAGCATGTCCACTGCGGGCTCCCCTAAGCACAGAAGGCTTGGCAGGGAGGGGCCAGCGGTTGTCCCTGGGCTGGTAAAAGAGAAGAGGGCATTCCAGAAGGAATGCCTGGTTAATGCCTGGAAACTGGCGGGCGAAACGAGCAAAGCCAGACTATACTGGATGACCTCCATAGGCGTGGGCAGACAGGATGCCCCGCACTGGGCTGGGCGGGAGGCGGGCTGTTGCTGGGGATGGGTGCCCGCTCCCCCGGCCCAGCGGAAAGCCAGGATTCCCAGGTCAGCGGCCACAAAAGCCCTCCCATCTCCACCTTCCGAGCGGTCACGGGACACAGGCGCAGCGCTGAGACCACGCGTGCACTGGGAGCTGGAGGCCCGTAGTTCTGGGGCCCTGCCGGGCCGCACGCACCGTGAGCGACACCTGGGCCGCGGCCGCCCGCGCCTGCTCGTCCAGCTGCCGCAGCTCGGCCCCGAACGCGTGCAGCGCGCGCTCCAGCCGCCGGTGGCGCAGCAGCAGGGCCTCGGCGGCCTCCGGGTCCCGGCCGCACGGAGCGCTCGCCAGCGCCGACCGCTGCTCTCGCAGCCACGAGGCCGCGTCCGCCGCGTCGGCCAGGTACTGCGGGGAGGAGGGCAGGCTGAGCACCCGGCGACCCCGCGCGCCTGCCCGGCCGCCCGCCACCCCGCCGCCCCGCTACCTGCTGGACGAGCAGAGCCGCCTGCAGCCGCGCCCCCCGTCGGGCCGCCCGGGCCCGGAGCCGCTGCCACGCGCCCTGCAGCGCCTCGGCCCTCTCGCGGGGATCCGGCCGCGTGGGGGGCCCGCGGGCACCCAGGTCGCATCCCCTCCGCACAAGATCAGCGCACACGGCCTGGTGGTGGCGCAGCTCGGCTTCCAGGGCCTGGCGGGGTGCAGAGTCGGGAGCTGGGCGAAGGGAGGGGAAGAAAGGGTGGCAGCAAGGTGGGGACTGGCAGGGCAGCGGGCGGCAGGTACCTTGTGTTTCCGCAGGCCCGCTCTGATCTGGCTGAGGTCCCGGCCCACGGCCTCCTCCTGCACCAGCTGCTGGCGCTCCCTCAGCCAGGCTTCCTCCTCCCCACAGTTGTGCAGGAACTCTGCCTGCTGCACGCTCTGCTCCAGCAAGGCCCGCCTGAGGGACGGCAAGGGACCCCGAAGGGATTGGGGAGTGGCCTCCCCACCAGGCTCAGACACTTCCCCTGAGACAGGAGTTTTCTTGTTCTGGATGACTCAACAGGGGGCCCAGAAGAGTGGGGGGTGAGGGTCAACGTGGAGGAAGTTGCCAAGTCAGCAGTATTTTTAACCTGGGCAGGAGGTACACTGGGTTACACGAAAATCCTGGAGAAGGTAGAAGAGGGGGCTGAGCTCTTACCGGGCCTTGACGAGGGACACCAGGCTCCAGTGGAGCTGGGCCAGCGCCTGGGCCTTGGCCTGCAGCACCTCCACACTAGTGCCTGGGGACGAGTCCAGCTCCGCGGTCTGGAGGGCAAGGTGGCGCACATGGGCTCCGTGGGCCGAGACCTGGGCCTCCAGCAGGTCCTGCTTCTGCAGCAGCTGCACTGTCTCTGCCAACTGCTGCCCCCAGGCTGTGGAGCTGGCCAGCACCTGCCAGGGGTGGACAAGTGATTGCTGCAGCCCCAGAGCGCTGGGGCCCCCTGAGTTCCCGTGCTCGGGCACCTGCTGTGTTGGCCTGGGGGGGGGGGGCGCTGTCTGCTGGTGCGGGGCCCACCTGGAGCTCCTTGAGCTGGTTGGAGGCGTTCTCCATCTCCTGCAGCAAGCTCAGCACAGCCTGCAGGTCTGCCATCTGCTTCTTCTGCCCTCGGAGACGCTCAAGGAGTCGCTCCCAGCGCCCAGTGATCTCCAGTTGCCTAGAGGACATGAGAATAGGGGTGGTCTTTACTGGGCTGCGGTGGGGTCTAAGCCAGTGGGGGCCTTGGTGGTCAGGGAGGAGCCTGAGCCTGGTGGCTGGGGGCTTGGAGCATCCCAGCCTGGGGTGGTTGGGGCATCGTGTTCTTGCTTCTTAGACACAGAGAAGCCAGAAGGAGGGCCTGGAAGGTTCAGGTCTACAGGGCCCCCAAGACTTTTTTCCAGTCCCCATCTCAGATGATAGATAGCAACTCCAACCTTCTAGGTGCCTGCGCTAAAATCTGGAGAACTTACTTTCTCACACCCCGCATCTGATCTGTCTGTAAATCCTCTTAGATTCAAAATATATCCAGAATCCCACCATTTGTCTTCGCCTCCATTACTTCTCTCTGGCCTAGATTATTGCATAGCCTCATGCGTGGTCTCTCTGCTTCTGCCCCTTCTGTCTGTCCCCGACGTGGCCTCCAGAGTGATCATTGGAGAAGAGGAGTTAGATTGTGTCACTCCTCTGCTCAAGCTCTCCCACAACTCATTCCCCATCTGCCTCTGAGTCAATCTTGTCTTTACTGTGCCCTACAGATCCCAGCATGCTGTCTGCCTCCACCCTTTGCCCCTGTCCTCAGCTACTACTGGTTCCTTTGGTTAACACTGGCCTCCATGCTATTTTCCACGCATGCCAGGCATGTGCCCACCTTGGGGCACTGCACTAGCCACTCCCTGTCCCTGGGAGAGTCTGTCCCCACATCTGTAAGGCTGGCCCCTCACTCCTTTCTGGTCTTTGCTCAAAAGTGAACCTCCTCTCACCACCCAATCTAACTCCCTCCCCCTATCTTGGCATTTCATAATCCCCTATACTTTATTACTATTTTTTATCACGATCTCACATACTATTATATGTACTTTGTTTTCCTTCGTTATGTGTAAGCTCTGTGAGGGGAGCGATTATTGTTTGTCCTCTTCACTACTAAATCCCCAGCACCCAGCACAGTGCTTGGGATATAATAGACACTCAATAACTGTTTGTTTAGTGAATGAATTAGTAAGAGGTATCTAGAAAGGGCGGTGCTTTACCAAAAGGGGTCAATTACGGATGCTGGAAGTTCAGGCATCGGGGGGAGTTAGATCTTTTCAAGGGATCCCTGAACCTATAGATCACACCTCTATGGCCAGGAATGGGCACATGGAAAGATAAGGGTATGATAGGGGGGCCTTAGCCTGTTTTGAGGATGGTTTCCGTGCCCCGGGCTCACCTGCAGGCCACATCTGCCCAGCCATGGTGCTGCTCCTGCTGGAGGACGTCTGCAATCTCGGCCAGGGCCTGGAAGCGCCCCTCTTGGGGCAGGATGCTGGCCTCCAGCATGCCCAGCTTCTGGGCAGCCGCCTCCACTGTGGCCAGGCTGGCTGGCGGGGCTGCGGCTGCGGCCTGGCCCAGCATGCACTCTGTGTCTGTCAGAAAGCTCTCCCTGAGGGCTGCCTTGCGCTGGAAGCGCCGGACCAGGGCTTCCAGCCGCTCTAGCTGTAGGATCCTCTGCAGCAGGGCCTGGCTCCGGGAGGCCTCTGCCCGCTCCAGGCCTGCCCAGCGCTGGGACAGCTCTGCAGGGCCCAGGCCCTCGTGAGGCAGAAAGGGCTTGCGGTTCTGGGCCCGAAGCGCAGTCTGCAGCCGGAAGAGCAGGGCCTCTGTGGCCCCTCGCTGCTGCAGCCGCAGCGGCTTCTCCTGGGTGCGGAAGCAGGCAAAGGCCACCAGCAGCTGGCGCGTGGCGGCTAGGGAGTCTGGGAAATCCCGCGCCTCCAGCTGCACCTGCTTCTCTGCGATCCAGCACAGCAGGTCGGCCACCAGCTGCTCGTACTGGGTCCGCAGCTCCTCCGTCTCCTGCAGCTGACTCAGGATCTGGAGGCGGCAAGGGAAGGGAACGGGGCAGCACCCCGGAGCAGGTCCTGGAATGGAGGTACTCCTCTTTTGGCTGCTGAGTGACTGCCAGGGTTCCCTGGGTGGGTGGTAGCTCCTTCCCCCCAGCTGAGGTTGCACTAAAGTGGGGGTCCTCCCAGCCCCCAGAGAAGCGGGTTGGCCTGCATTGCACACTTAGACCCAGGAATGTGGGGCACCCATCCTGCCTTCCTCCATCTTATTTTACCCCATTTGGTCTCACGTCTAGGGGGTACTATTTTTCTGAGCTGTCTTTCCCTTCCCTGAGGCCCCCACATCCCTAAAGCAGCTCAGAGCCCTTGGCCTTGATCGTCTCCCCCATGCCCAGCTGAGACGCCAACCCTAAGAACAGCTTCCCAGGCCTCCGCATCTGCCAGTGTGCCCAGAGAGGAAGAGAGCCTCCCCAAAACGGACGGAGCCCAGCAGAGCTGCTTCTGTGCCTCTCCTTACAAAGTCCAGCTCTCTGAGCCTTTCAGTCCCATTAGGAGCTCAACAGCCTAAGAGCAGGGGGGAGGGGGAGGGACTAGAGGGGATGGAGCTCACCTGGCTCTTCCTGTGTGCCAGGCCCTGAGCTAGGCACTGAGCCCAACATTCCCAAAAACTCATGGCAGCCTTCTGCTACCCCAGGCATTATCGGCTCCGTTTGACAGAAAAGTTAGGGGACATGGTCAAGGCTGCACAGCTGGGAAGTGGCAGAGGCAGGCTTCAAACCCAGGTGTGTCTGACTCTGAGCCCATGCTCCCGCCGCCTCTCCTCGATGCCACCTTCGCTTTGTCACCAACCTTAGCAAGTCTCCTCTGGACCGTCTGCTCCTGGTGCAGGCGGGAGAAGTGATGGTAGTAGAGGGAGACATAGGTCATGATGGAGCGCTCGTCAGGATGGGGGGCCGCCACGTCCTCGGGGTCCAGCAGCTGAGCAATGCCCATCTCCTGCTCAGCCACGCGGAAAGCCAGGTCAAGGTTGTGCAGTGGGTGCTCGGGACGCAGGGAGCAGTAGTCAAGCAGGTCTGGCCTGGACAGAGAGCAGGCCCAGCTCTTCACCAGAGCCGCTTGCTGCTTGGGTCTCAAGGCCTTGGTAAAAAGGCCAACCAGCTCCCGTTGGCCGTTCACACCTTACCACACATTAGTTTCCCCTGTCGGTAATCTGAACCGCTAATGAAGGAATGGGGCTCTGATAGAGAGGGGAGGGTTAATTTCCTTCGGGGGGGGGCAGGCTTCTGGGTAGGGGGAGAAACTCCAAAGGGGTGGGTACTTGCCAGGAAGAGAATAGAGAGAGAATAGAGTCAGGGACACAGAAAGTGGAGAAAGGCAGGGGTCAAGGCAAACGTGGGCCAATTCCACGGGATTTCCTAGGGAAGGGGGGAGGGCCTCGGCTATCAGCCTGCTCTACTTCCGAGCCCCCGGGTGCAGGGGCCAGAGGGATGTGGGAGATGGGCGGGTTCAGGACCCAAGCCCATTCTCGGTGTTCGGCTGGGTGGTGGAGCCCCACAGGAGGGAGGTTGAGGGGCTGGGAGGGCACCGGGTCCGCTCTCTGTCTGGCGCACCTGTGTGCATGGATGAGGGCACCGAAGCCGAGCCCGTCACTCCAGCTGCGGGAGAAGTCGGTGATGTCGACGTCGGGGTAGCCGGCTGTTTTCCGTTGGCACCAGACCAGCAGAGCTTCCTTGGCAGACAGCAGGGCTGCGCTGGCCCCAAACTCCTCCTGGCAGGGTGGGACAGCGGGTCACCATGCAGGGACGGCTGGGAAGGCAGCAGGACCCGCAGGCCGTGGGAGAGGCAGGCTGGGCTGGGTTGTGATCCTTCTCCCCTGACCTGGAGGCAGGTGCAGATCGCTCTCTCTTCAGAGCACCTGATTTGACTGATTTCATTTGTGGTGGGCAGGGACTGGGGCTGAGGGAGAAAGATCGTCCTTCCAAAGAAGTGGGACGCCTGAAAGCTGTCGCATTTGAGCAGCCGGCTTTGAGTCACAGCTGGTGACCACAACAGCGGGAGCTCCCGTTTCTCCAGCCCTTCTCATGGGCGGGACATTGAGGAATGAGGAATTGAGGCTGGGATTTGTTAGACGGGCTCCTGGTCCCTGGGGGGCTGTCTGCCAGCTGGGCACAGGGCCGTGGCCCTCCAGCCTCTCGCGGCCCCAGGAGCGGGGCACCATTACTATTTCCATTCTAGGGCTGACACAAGGAGGAGCAGAGGGGCCATGAGGAGGCTGCCCAGCATCCCTCCCCCAACAGGGCAGGGCTTGCCTGCGGGGGAGTGGCTGACAGCCTGCCTCTGACGGGTGAGCCCCCCTGTCTGCCTCACAGGGCGGCTGAGGGCAGAGCTTGTGCTGCTTCGTCAGGCCGGGCAAGGACATCTTTGGATTCAATCCCCTCCCTCCATCAATGTTTCTCTTCTTGACAGTTTCCTTTATTCCGGTACTCTTGGTTCCACCTGCCTGCAACCTGCCCTGCTATCTCTCTTTCCCTCAGTGCTTCTCTTTCCCCCTCTTCTACTCCCCTCCCCCCTCTTCTACTCCCCTCCTCCAGCCTCCATTCCTGGTCCCTGTCCTGCCCTTACTGGGACTCTCCTTCCACCCACTCCCTCCCTCACGCTCACCCCCCAAAGGCCCCTTTCCTCCTTCCTCCCCAACTCGTGCTTCCTCTCATTTGCTCCACCCCTCCACTAATTCCTGGTTATAAACTCAAAACGTCAGAGCAGAGCAGGCTGCCTGTCCTTCTTCGCCCTTTGGGCCCAGGAGCTTGGGTGGCAACAGTGCAGGGGGGACGCCTCGAGGCCCAGAGCTCATGCCCTAAGCAGTTGGGCTTGGCTGGCAGACACGACCCAGGAGAGAGTCTGAGGGTGAGCATGGGAGGGAGTGGGGGCAGCCTATTGCGGTTACGTCTGTTTGGCAGGGAGCAGAGCCTGAGCCGGTCAGGGTGCAGGGTGACCAGTCAGGGGATGACTCACCTGCTGCTCCCAAGGGAAAGGGCAGCCAGGGCACCTGGAACTGGCTTAGGGGACCAAGGAAGGGAGTGTAGCCACACGGAAGGGCTTGAGGCCAGTTAGAAATCCACCCATCTCTTCATTCATCGCATAGGTGCGAGACCCTGGGGACACATCCAGGCAACGCTCCTGCTGTCCTGGGGCTCACAGTCACATGATGGGTTTCAAGGGTCCTCCTGGATTTGAGCCAGATCTATGGCTTCTTTTCATTAGGGTCTCATTCTCTAGGTTGGCTTTTATAACCTTTTGGAATTGAGTTTTAGGTGAGGTTTTGGAAACCATAAAACAAATTGATAAATATAAGGACTTTATGTTTTTACTCTTTCCCATTCAGTTGTGGGAAAACAAGGTAGAACAAGAGGAGGATGGAGGAGCATCTCTTTGGTGTTGAGGATACTGGGGATTTGGAAAATTCTGGGGCTGGGACTCCCTCCACATGTCTAATTTCTCCCAATAGCACATTAGAGGTATAATAGAAGTTAGAGGGTTTCAGTGCCAAGTAGGGAACAACCAATCGGGGTGAAAGGCAGGCACTGGGCAGTCACCTGAACCCCTCACTTGTGAATGGCTTGTCCCAGATCAGGACTGAAATCCGTGAATCTAGTTGTCATTTTAGCATATTACAATCTCTCTGACATTCTCAATTCTTTGCCCGTGGTTGAAGAGTGGGTATTCCTTGTGTGGATGCCAGGGTCTGTTGTGGGGTTCCTAAATAGTCAGGTGGAGCTGCTCTGTCTCCAGGGGCCGGAGGTGAGGCCAGGGCTGGGCTGGGCTGGGCTGGGTGGTTGGGGGCTGGGGCATACCCTGTCCAGGGAGATGTGGGAAATCTGGAAACGCAGAATGATGACCCAGATGAGTCCCAGGATGAGTGTCTGGTCTCCGTCCACGATGTTCTCTGGCCCAATGAGGGGTATTGGCACCTGTGGGCACAATTGGCGGGGCTCAACCGTGAAGCCTGTGTACCAGAGAAGACTCAGAGTACCCCAAATCCGGGGGGCCTGCTGCCAGATGGGAGGGTCCTGGAATCCACCCTGTCCCAGGAGGTTCCCAAGGGAGGAACAGGCAGGGCACAATGCCAGGCAGGTGGAGACTTTCTAAATGGTTGCAGCTTTGGACTCAAGTCCTCCCGGGCAAAACCCAAGCCTGGTGAACTGGGCTGGACCACTGGGGTGGGGGATCTCCCTGTATGTGGGCTACAGGTAAACAGAGGCCAAGATCAGTGGTTCAGCCATGGGGGTTGGAAATGAGGGGTCATCATAGTCAATATATGAGCTCAAGAGACAACAGAAACTGTCTGCCTCCACCTCTCAGGGCATGTGGGGATCTTCAGGGAGGGCTTGGGTCCTTGGCTCCCACTTCAATCTCAGTGCTCTTCATCAGTGGTCCATCTCCTGGTAAAAAGGCAGATTCCCAAGCTGCTTTTTTACCCAGTCAGACTCTCCTGGGCCAGGGCCCAGGACTTGCATTTGGACAAAGGCCTCAGGTGGTTTTCCTGTGCACTCAAGTTGAACACCTGCTGCCCTAGATCTTGCCTACATGGACAGGGAGGAGGAATGAATGAGGGGAGAAAGGAACAGAATAAACATCAAAGCCGCACGGGACCTGGGCCCCTTCACCCTCTGGCTCCGTCTTCCTCTCCTGGATCACAGCGCTCCAAGGCCTGTGGGATTCTGGCTGTTCCTTGGGATTCTAGGCACAGGCCTTGGGGCCTTTGTACTGTCTGAAAATACCGTCCCCAATAGCCACATGGCTACTTCCCTCTCTTCTTCTAAGTCTTTACTCAAATACCACTTTTTCAATGGTGTTTTCAATAGCCACCTTATTTGAAATAGAAGCCCAGGGGCTATTCCTCCTGCACAAACACACATGCTCGACCCCCTTACCCTGCTTGGGTGGGGATCTTGGTTTTGTTCTCTGATGCCTCCCTAGTAGAGAGGCTGGCAGATAGTGGGTAATGGATAAGTATGCACTGAATGGAGAAAGAAGAGGGGCGACTTTCCATAAGACCGGCGGGAAGCCGGCTTCAGCCAACCACCAGCCTGGTGGGCAGGGCTGCATCCCTGGGTATCGCAGTGGGGCCCGCCCCATGCTCAGACTTCTCCTCCTGGCACACCTGAGCTGGAGCAGCTAGCTGGTCTGTGGGGGCCTTGGAGTCTGCTCATACCAGCTTGTGAGGGCTGATCTTCCCACTTTGTGCTTAGTGATATCACACTGGTAGCTTGCAGTCAGCTGTGGTGGAGGCCGCAATCCCAGGGAAATGAGCAAATGCTACAAAGCAGGGCTTTTATGCCCCCTGCGCTGAGAGTGGGTTGTTAAACATTTACCAGCACACACTGATCTGGGTTCAAATCCACTGTCTTCCCTGAAACTGCAGGCCCCTGGCAGCCAGGTCTGGGCTTGCTGCCTGTGGTCCCCAGAGCCTGGCATGGAGTGCCCAGCAAATGACACGGTCTCAGAAATGAGTCCATCCCACATTCTGCTGCTCGGTAACCCTGTGTTGGGGCAACAGTATGTAGAGTGGAGACAAGGCTGTCACTTTCATAGACTATGTATCAGTGACATGCTGGGCTTGCGGGGAGCTGCAGAGCCTCTGACAAGGGCCACGGGGCGCCCACTCTTCCCAAATACCTGGAGGGGTGGTGGCTGGCTCACAGGCTATTGTCCCCGGGACCAAAAAAGGGCCTGGCATTCTGTGGCTGTGAGCTTTCTGCTCCTCCCTGGGCTTGGGGACTGCAGTGGCCCCATGCCTAGCTTTGGCTTCTAACTCAGGCAAGCCAGGCTCCCGGGGGGCTGTGACCTCCAACCCAGGACGTAAGTGACAGGCGCACACACCCAAGTTCAGCCCAGCCAGTTCCAGCTCAGTGACTTGCAGGCTCCAGGAACAGCTTCCTCATGGCTTCTGGACCTGCGGGCTTCCCCCGTCCTGGCTCCCAGTATAAACGACCCCTGCCTAGGCCCCTTGACGCTGGCCATGAGGGTCCTTCCATGGCCCTGGAGCTTTTGCCTCCTTTTAATGACTATTTCTTTGGCCAGTCTCTTTCTTTCGGGAGACCGTGGGTCCCTCCTGCTTGCTGCAGCCCCTGCCTGCTAACGGATCCAGCTTCTCCGAAGCAGACCTGAACCTCTTCCCTCCACCACCTGGCTCAGTGTCCGGGGGTCTTCTCCGGTGTCCTCCTCTCAGCCTGCCCCCCACAGCCCCGCATCCGGGCTCGACTGGCCCACTGACCGTGGGTCTTGCCTGGTAAGTTATTTCCTTAGTTAGGGAAGGAGAGAGTTCAGAGTATAGGGAATCTTTCGGCTTAGAATCCCACAGTTCTCTCATGGCAGGCAGGCAGCAGTGCACTTCAGTCCCACCCACACGATGTCCCTGCTCCGGCCGGGCGGTCCGGGGCCCTCTAAGCTGCGAGTGCTGCTCAAGGAAGGGCTTGACCTTCTGGACCTCTGTATCCCAGCAGCTATGCCTGGATTCGGGCTCCAGAGCCTCTGCTCTGCCCCGGCCAGCCCAGGAAAGATGATCTAGGAGCCCAGCCGATGCCCTCCGTCCCCGCCCCAGCTCCTTGTCCAGAAGCCGTCTCCCCAGCACCCACCTTGGCCCTGAGGAAAGCCAGAGCGTGGCTGCTGTTCTCCAGGAAGTGCGCCCGCAGGCGACCCCGGCTGGGGGGTGGCAGGGCCTCCCCCGAGATGAGCTCCAGCAGCCGAAGTAGGTGGGTGCCATCAGCCAGCTCCGTGTACAGGTTCTGGAGCTTGATGCCCACCTGGGAGGGGTGGGGAAAGGGCACAGGGTCAGCCCCCCTCTCCTGTCTGGCCTATCCCAGCACCGGGGAGGGGCAGGCCAGAGCAGCTTCCTTAAGGAAGGAGCACGGCCCTCAGCGGGGCTTTAGGGTCAACAGAAGCAGCTTCAGCTGGGCTCTGGGGTCTGCGAAAAGTCTCAGCCAGATGACCTCACAGCTGGCCCCCAGAGTCCACTGGCCAGGGAGTGAGGGGGACAGTAGAGGCAGGCTGCGGGGCATGCCCCACTACACTCACCCGGCCATGCTGGAAGACGTTGTTGATCCAGTTGGTGAAAGTCTTCTCCTGCATCCTCATGTGCTGTACCTGCAGCTTGCGAATGTGGCTCGTCTCGTATGCAGAGTCCATGGTGGGACAGGACTCGGGGAGCTGCCCTGGGGCTCTGGGGCTGGCCTCCTGCTGCAGGTGCCCTGTGGCCCAAGGAGCTGCTGGGGACCGTGGGACCGACCAGCCAGCAGGCCTGCAGCCCTTTAGGGATGAGGGGCCACTGGGTATTTCTCTAAGCTGGAGATGTTGAGGGGCATGGAGATTGGGGAAGGAGTGTGAATGGTCCCCACATTTGGAAGGGGCGCTTGTGGCTTAGGGCCTAGCCAGGTAAGGTTCTGGGGCTCCCGGCTGGTGCCCTACACTTAAATGCCTCTGAGCCCTTTGCCCCACCCCACTTTCCAGATTCCTCGGACCACGGGCGACTAGCTGCTGCTTCTCAGGATGAAAAGGGCAGGTGGGAGGAAAACAGGACTCACCTTGGCGATGTCTGTGCCGGGAAGGAGACCCTACTGGACGGATGGCAATGGCAGATAGTAGGGGCTGCGTGGGGAGGGAGAGAACCACAGGAGAGGCCAAGGCTGGAGCCGGGGCCACACCATGGCCCTCCTCTTGAGCCACGGGGCAGGGGTGACGGCACACAGCGGGCATTGTCCTCCCACCTGCCAAAGGGCGTGGTCCAGACAGGGAGGGGGTGGCTCAGGAATGTTCTAGCCTATGGCCCCAGGATCTCCTCCTTCATCCTCCCCCCACCTCCGATGCTCCCAATGTCAGGTGGGGGTCCTGGCTATCAAGGCACAGAGGCCCGTGGGAGCTCCCCGAGCTGGCTCTGGGTGGGAGTGCCATGGGGGTGCTGCAGTCCAGGTACTCACAGGGCAGAGCCCCTGGTCAGAAGCTTCTGCCCCCACTTCCCAGTCTGGGCTGCCCTTTGGCACCACGGCAGGGCCTCTTTGTGAGCACCCACAGGGGTGGAAATGGGAGGGGGCATGCCAGCCCTCTCATCCTGTCCAGGGGAATGCCACCATAGAGGGAGGGGAGTCCTTGGACCCCAGGCTCAGCTTTCCAGGCCCTGACTTGGCCCAGGGCTGAATGGTGGGTGCTCCCTCATGCCCAGGGGCCACTTTCTGAAGGGGGCTTTCCCTGGGAGAGGGTAACTAGGAGCTGCAAAGGCCGTGGGAATAGCAGAGTCTCCTCCAAAGCCAGGGACACAGTGTTCACTTCGGGGGGCTTCATTGTGAGGCCCCCAGCACCCATGCTTCCACAGAGCTGTCTGGGTCTCAGGGCTCAGGGCAGGAGCTGTGGAGGGAGCCCGCAGGCAACTCTCTCTCCCTCCCTGAGCAATCTTGAACTGCATGCCAGAGAGAGTTCTAATTCGGGTGGCTTCACAAAATGTTCTGGCTAACCTCGGGGTCATAGTCACTGGTCCGGGGTGGGTGTCTATGGTTTCATCCAGCAGCCCCAGAGACTCTGAGAGGAGATGCGGCACTTCTCGGGCAGGTGTCCCTGGCAGCCAAGGCTGGTGAGAGAGGAGCGTGGCCACAGCCTGCCCTCCAGAGCTGCGCAGGACAAAGCACTCTGGAACCCTGGGCCTGTGGCTGGGAGTGAGGGGCATGGTGCTCTCGGGCTGGGGGCAGCTCCCCTGCATCTGAGAGGAGCTTCATCCCCTGTTGCCCTCTCCCTGTGAGGTCCCTCCCGCCACTGGCTGGCTTCCCGGTGTTGGCGTGAGCCCGGGCTTCTTCCTCGCTCACAGCCCCAGATGGAGCCAGTCCTCAGGGGCAGCTGCTCCGTGCTCCCCAGAACCCCATGGTCTACCGTCCCACCCTGTCTACTTGCACTGCCCCCGCACGGCCCCATCACCGTTCCCTGACTTGACATCTTGCCTGCACATCAGTCTAGGCACAGCCCCCCAGTTTACCCCCCAGAGCACAGCTCTGCTCATGCCTATGAAGACGCCCCATTGCCTCAAAGGGACCAGAGCTTTTCTGCCCGCATCGGGGCTTCAGCTGTTCTTTCAGCTTAGAATGTCCCTTCTGTTCCTCATTGTCCACATTTTCCTATCCTATCAGCCCCAGTTAAAAACCCTGCTCCTTCTAGCAGGTTCCCTGCCACCTAGCCCCTCTCTCTCAGCTTGTTTCTCCTCCTATTAAGAGCCTTGGCCCAGGGCATCTTGTATGATGTGACCACCAATGGACAGGCTGGAGCTGCATGATGCTTTGCACACAGACCTCAGCAGAGGTTGTTGTATTAGGTTGTTGAGTGGGGCTGGGGAACTGTTTTTTTTTTTCTGTTTTTTTTATTTATTCATTAAAAGAAAGATTTTTTTAAATTTTTTTCTTATGTTAATCCCCATACATTACATCATTAGTTTTAGATGTAGTGTTCCATGATTCATTGTTTGTGCATAACACCCAGTGCTCCATGCAGAATGTGCCCTCCTCAATACCCACCACCAGGCTAACCCATCCTCCCACCCACCCCCCTCCCCTCTAGAACCCTCAGTTTGTTTTTCAGAGTCCATTGTCTCTCATGGTTCGTCTACCCCTCCGATTTCCCCCGCTTCATTCTTCCCCTCCTGCTACCTTCTTCTTCTTCTTTTTTTTTCTTAACATATATTGCATTATTTGTTTCAGAGGTACAGATCTGAGATTCAACAGTCTTACACAATTCAGAGCGCTCACCATAGCACATATAAAAGAAAGATTTTATTTCTTCATTTGAGACACAGATACAGAGAAAGAGTGAGAGCATGAGCAGGGGAGCAGAGGGAGAGGGAGAAGCAGGCTCCCCACTGAGCCAGGACCCCGATGTGGGGCTTGATCCCAGGACCCTGAGATCATGACCTGAGCCGAAGGCAGCTGCTTAACCATCTGAGCCTGCTTTTCTTTCTCCTTAGCTCTCCTTAGCAGATGCAGCTAAAGCCATTGCACACGCAGCAAGGCCTGGCTCCTCTTGCTGCCACTGATTGCAGCCCCTGCTGAAAGGAGAATCCCTTGTTAGTTAGTACCTAGTTTTGGATTATTTATGTGGTGAGTAACTAAGATCTCAAGTCAAACAGATTTAAACAACATAAAAGGAAGGTATTGGCCCAGAGGACTGAAATGTTTGGCAGGAGGAGGACTTTAGGTGAGGTTTGATCCAGCAGTTTCAAACGATGGCACCATAGGCCTGGACTCCCTCTGCCTTTCTCGATGCTTCCTTCACCTTCATGCTCCAGAGGGTGGTTGCTGCCAGCCTAACCTCACTCCTCTGCCCCCAGTAGCTCTGGACACTCCTCTCAATACCATTCATATTGTACCAATGGGCTCACTGCTCTACACTGCATGGTTCAGAGAAGAGAGGACATTTCTCTCAAGAGTTGGAAGAAAAGTCTGAGGGGCTTGGCTCTCATAGGCTTGAACTGAGCCACATGTCCATTCCTGAATCAATTTTTGTGACCAGGGGGATGAAATACTCTCATTGGCTGAAGCCAATCATGACCCACCCCGGAGAGGTGTCTATCCCACCCAAACCTTGTGGCTCAGACGGAGGGTGGGGAAGTAGGGAGTGCTCTGCAAAGGAAATTTCGGGTCTGGATCACCACAAGGGTAGATGGGTGACAGTGGGAAAAACCCAGACGTCTGCTATAGGGCTGTGTGACAAGAGGCAGGAGCAATGCCAGCCGGCCAGGGGGCGCCCACCCTAGCACTCCTGCACCTTCAGGCACAGGGGCTTGCCTCCGAGCTGGACAGGATGAGGCAGCAGGCACCCAACTCCTTTGAGGGTGCTCAGCGATGCCCTTCCCAGTGTCTGAAGGGCCTCCTTCCATGGTTCCGTCCTGGTCTCCAGTCATCCTCAGCTGGGGCCTGCTCTCAGACCTGGCCTCTGCCCCCAGCTGATGGAGCTGCTTTCCAGCTCAAGAAGCCCCACTTTGGGAGTCTCCCAGCCTAGAGGACATAGGGAGAGTTGGGGGTCACAGGGGTGGCGTACAGAGGGGCACACCCTCCCCCCTAACTCCTCTGCCTCATTTCCGTTGGATCCCTGCTTTACTCTTTTTTTTTTTTTTTTTTTTTTTAAGATTTTATTTGACAGAGACAGCGGCGAGAGGGGGAACACAAGCAGGGGGAGTGGCAGGCTCCCCACCGAGCAAGGACCCTGAGATCATGACCTGAGCTGAAGGCAGACGTTTAATGACTGAGCCACCCAGGTGCCCCCCTGCTTTACTCCTGAGACAACTGGGTCACTGGAAAACCAGAACCAATGTTGGAAAGGTAGTAAATTTTTCAGAAGTTTATTGATCAATAGATTGTTTCGTTTGTTTGACACTTCTAAACAAGATTACAAAAAAATAGAAGCATTGTGTATTAACTGCATTGGCTAATGGACATGTAACTTGATACACTCTTAACTTAGGCCCATGTTTACCTGATTAAACTCAGTGGTTATCTGTCATAAGAGCGTTATTTCTCTGCTACATTCTGCGGAGGAAATAAACAGCGCCTCTGTTAACCGCTTTCCTGATCTTCAAGGCAATTTGCCTGGGGTACTGCTCTGGGCGTAATGAAAGAGTGTAATGGTGCAAAGTGGGGAGGTCCCAGTGGTGGCTGTCAGGCCGTGACTGGTGGCTAAGCCCCCCGCTGGGCAGTGGGCTGCAGCCTAAGACATTCGCTGTGTGGTAGACAGGCGCTTCTCGGGAGGCCCAGCAGAAGCATGGCAAAGGGCTTGGTCAGGGGTGGTGGGGCCAGGGCTCTGCGGAGGCTTCCCCTGTGGGCTGGTAATCAGGGTGCGGGTTGAGGGCAGGGCAGGAGGCATTGGCTTCTCCGCACATGCTCTTTGACCCGCCTGGACACTCAGTCCCATGATACAGAATTTAATGCCTCAAAGGCCCACTGTCCTGCAGGAGGAACCACAACTCCAAATCGAAAGACGCTATAGCTCCATAATGACAAGTGCTCTGAGGAGAACCCAGTCCAGCCCTGGAAAGATGAGAGTCAGCTAGATGAATGGCCCTCCCCATCGCAGGGGGACCCGTGGGCCATGCCAGTGTGCAGTAAGGAAGGACTCCATGTACAAAGCTGGGCTGGAGCACGAGGCTGGAGCAGGATGGA